TTACTGCTTTTATTTTTTCCAAGGTAGATTTCTCAAAGGTAAAGAAGAGATTAATGAATGTCTTGGTGACTGATTGGGGGTAGAAATGAAAGGAAGCCGTCAGCTTTAAAGCCTATTTGACTAGGAGAATATTAGTACAACAATTGTACTAAGCTGTGTGTGTGGGGTTGGGGGGAGAGTGTACCGACTGCTCTATCTGACAGTACCACCTCTGTTGGGATAAGGGTACAGTTTTGTGTGGGAGCTGGCTCATACTGGCTCGCCAGAGCTGATTGTTCAATTTTCAGAAGTTTTGTGAGCCAGATATTAACCACCATTATTTAGAATTACATTGTATGAATTTAGAGAGGTAACAGAAAAGTGGCTTACCGCACTTCTGACATCATGTCCTCTTTTCGGGGTCCAGACTAGGAATTTCAGGAGCCAAGTGAAGCGGAGAGGTGGGCATGAGAAACAGGGGGCCTGGAGCTGGTTCGCAGAGAAGTTGAAAGGAGCCTGATGCTAGGTTTATAGAAGTTCGTAGAGAAGCTGAAAGGAGAAATTTTGAGGAAACAGAGAAAGGGAAGTTCAGCCCCCAAATGTAAGTGTGAGTGTTCTATTAAAATCATCTGAGACTACGAGATGGCAGGAGAAACAAGGAACAGCCACGTAAAAAAAAAACGGCCACCTCTCTGTTGGCGTCCGCTCCCCTTCCTCCCCCTCCCCCCACCTCACCCTTGATAGGGCACTTGCTTCCTTGGAAGGAAATGAGCTTCAGGAGGCAGACACCCCTGCGGAAACAGAGAAATGTGAGAGAATTAGCACACTGTAGGTGGGGGAGGGTATGGGTTCAACAAGTGAAAAGGGTCAAAACTTAGGAGAGAAGACAAAGTACTTCAGGGGCTAATGATGGTTAACAATTTGCTCCTAGAAATTTTTTCCCTTGGCTTTCAAGACCTGCCATCCTGATCCTCTGATAGTTCCTCCCCAGTCGACCCGGGAATGATGAGCAGACCATATGTGTGGCCAGGCACATTGCTGAGGATTAAATAAATCTCAAAAGAAATCCAGAAATGGCTAGCTAAAACTTTTACTATAGTTTCAGCTTCACTCTGATTTTTATAAAATGATGGTGTGAGAAAAAGATAAACTGTTTGCCCTGTTCTGGACCCTCAGACTGGGGAGAGGAGAGTGCTGATTTTAGTTATGGTTTGAAACGAAAGGGTGACAATGCTCTGAAGGGAAAGTCACTACTGTGTGGCCGAGAGCAGTTACCCCGCCCTTCTGCATCCTCCCCACTTACCCCTGTTGGGGTTCAGGGTGATTTGGACTGGGTGATGAGCGCCACCTGCAGGAAGAAAGCTGGAGATAGTAAGCAACTTAATAGGGTTTAGCATTATTCTGGACCAGAAATAAAAGTCCAGTAAACGCTCTTTGACCCATCTCTGGTTCTCTTCTTCCTGAAATTTAGTTTCACTGGGATTAAGAGACAATATGTAAGGTCTAGCCCTGCAGGAAGAAGCAGCTTTAACTTTGGCAGAGTCTAAGAGACCTCATAACCTCCTTCACAAAGAGAACAGAATCCGGCAGGAGAGAATTCCCAGACCTCCCCATCACCAATCATTCAAAATCACCCACTTCCGTACTCCACCCGTACCTTCTTCCTGGTGCAGTGGGGAAACTGTCCCCTTCCTGAGGCTAGTGCCTCCAGGATCCCTTCCCACCTTCTCTCACAATCTGTGTCCTCAACCTTCCTTACACTTCTTTCTACAAATATTTAAACATATCTAAGACTCTTCAGTCTTAAATATATTTAAAAAGCCAGAAAAACAAAAATAACAACTCCCTGATTCTATAACCCCGCAAGATGCTACCTAACTTCTTCCTCTTGTTCACAGTCACACTTCTGGAATAAGCTGACAATGCTTGCTGCCTCCACTTCCTTCCCCTCCTTTTGGCCCTCAGTCTACTGCCGTCTCCCTCTACTCCCCCCTCACCAGGAGACAGTGCTTGCCAGGTTCTCAGGGTCCAACAGACATTCTCTTATCTGATGTGTTGGTAGTATTTGCATGATGATCCCTCCTTCTCATTTGAAACACTCCTTGACTATGGTCAAGGAGACACACATTCCTAGCCTCTCTCCCACCTCAGTGCTCCCACTGCGTAGATGCCACTATTAACTATTCAGTTGCTCAGGCCAGCATGGATGACCATGGAGTCGCGCTTGAGTGTCTTCTCTCCCTGCCCATATCCTTCAGCAAGAGCAATATAGTTTGGAATCCCACCCCTTCTCAGTCCTGCTTAGCCAGCACCCTGGTCTCAGCCACCCTCACCTCTCACCTGGGACACTACAGTAGCCACTTGGCTGACCTCCTGCCTCTACCCTGGCTACCACTCAACAGCTCAGATGACCTTCCACAAGTAAATCCCAAGGAACTCCCCTCTTTCCAACCCTCCAAGTTTATCCCCAGTCCCCTTAGGCTTCCAGTTACACGTTGCTTCCCCATAAACCCTCCTGGAGCCCCCACACCTGGGCTTGGAGCCCTTCCTCATTTGTTCCTGGAACATTGGTTATTCCTTCCAAAAGCACTTATTTCACTGTGTCCAAACTCCTCTGTCCCCACAGCTTCATGAGCTCAGTGAGGGCAGGGACTGCTGCGTCCATTCTGAGTGCATGGCACCTAGCAAATATTCCATAAAAAATAGCTGTGAATGTACGATCTCCTCACATTTCTAGACATAATCTTAACAGATCAGGGAACAAAATGCAAAAGAAGGAAAGCAGGGTAAAATTCTGATAATGAATTGATTGTGGAAAGAAGCGCTCAAATGGGCCCCAAACGTTCCAAAAACTCTGTAAAATACCAGTCTGCGGCAAAAGTGAAGCTATCTTTGTGCCTGAACAAGGTCTAGTGACCCAGAGCTGCTGATTTCAGCTGTGGCTTGGGTGAGTGGCAGATAGTGCCCTGAGTTTATGGTCCCGCGTACCCAAATGGAGGGGAGCCACAAAGGCGATGGCCAGCCTTTGCTGTGGTCCAGAGATGAAGGTCAAAAATTGGGAGCTTTCTAGTCTAATCTTGGAGCAACTGTTTACAGCCAAAGGGAATTTGTAAACTTACAATTTAAAGAGAAGATAAATTTTTCCGGGGAAGCCATAGGCAAGAAACGTTGGGCGGGAGTTTTCCAAGAAACGAAAGCGAAAGAGACTTAACCTCTGGGAGTTTGGGGTGGGACCAGCAGTCGCAGCTGGACTAGCTGAGGTGAGGATGGCTGCGTCCTGCTCCTTCCCGCTGCTGGTTGAAGGGTCCTGGGGCCCCAGCCCCCCGAAGAACTTGAGCACCAAGTTGCAAATGTACTTCCAGAGCCCGAGGAAATCCGGCGGCGGGGAGTGTGAGGTCCGCCAGGAGCCGGGGAGCCCGACCCGCTTCCTCGTGCTCTTCGACTCCAACGACGGTGAGGGGGACTAGGGGTGCGGCTGAGAGGGGACAGCGGGGCTCTCCTTCCAGGGGAAACTTGGGGCTGGGGCACGCGGCGGGAGAACCGGGCCGGGCACGCGGCGGGAGAACCGGGCCGGACCCGGAAGCAGCTGAAGGGGAGGGCATGAGGGGCGCGGAGGGACAAGGTGCCTTGAGGGCGCCGCAGTGCCCGCTGAGCTGCGCTTCCAGGCGCTCCCGGAGGCAGACCGCGTCCGTGGGTTAAATAAACTTTTAGCACCGTAGGACAGAAGGGAGCCGCCTGAGCGCAGGTGCACCCACCTCATTTTACAAGGCTGCATCGGAGTTGCAATGCCGTTTCAATTTTTGTCTTCTTCCTATTAAAGCAGCAGTTCTGGAACTCCAAAGGTTTATGGGAGCACACTTTGAAGGGAAGAGAGATTTTCCCGGGGAAAGCCATAGGAGAATATTGAGGAGAACTCTTCAGACAGGAGCTCACTATACAAACGAGTGCTGGGGGGCAAGACAGCAAACGTGCTTACAGGGACGTGCGGGGCACCCTGGGGCAGGTTTGGTTTGAGGAGTGATCCCTCTCCTTATCCCTGTACACAAGCAAGGTCTGAGGGCTGGAACTAAAAAGAACACGTAGGGTCAGGGAAATTGTATCAGATGACAAAGAAAGTGCTTATATTTTTAAAAATCTCTTATTAAATCTGTTAAAAAAAAAGTGGGGAGGATAATAAGGCTAATAGAAAGTTGAGTTGAGATGAGAGAGGGCCTTGTATGACATGCTAAGAAGTATGAACTTTTCCTCACAGATAGGCAGGAGTCATGTACAAATGCACTTTAAGAAGATAACATTTGGTTGAAAATAAGTATGTTGCTTTTTGTTGGGAGAGACTGCTGTCCTCAGACCTTTGAAGAGAATCATACAATATTCAAGTCAGGAGAAGTGAGGCCTTGAACAAGCAGAGTCTGTGAGGACGGAAGATACATGTTCATGCTCTGTTCTGGATTTGGTAACTGATTCCATAGGAATGGTGGCCGCTCCATTTGAGGGAGAGGGAGAGCCCCTGTGCTTTCTCTTATCATTTAGATGGGGAAAGAGGGGTAAAGCAATATGATGAGTCACAGGGATTTCTCCACAGTGTTCATGGAGATTCCCAGTGGTTCTGGGGATTCTTCGGAGAATGGCAGGTGTGCTGCCTAGAATCTCATTGTCTGGGTGTAAATATAGAGGCTTACTGGTGGGGAAAGGCAGATACTGTTGACCAACACAAAGTATCTTTGTCCGCTGGAACCTCTTCAGTTGGTTTCAGGGTGATCTTTAGGCTGGGAGGAGGTGACATTCTGAGTTGATCAAGACCTTTGAACTTGGGTAGAAGTTCCCTCCCCACAGGCAGTTGAGCAGCTGAGTTCGCCCCTCCTGCTGTTGCCATTAGGGAAGTGGGAGGACAAGGACCCACCAGTTAGCTACTTGCTCTAGACACCTACCAGGTCTGCACTGGGAGGCATGTGACCTGCTGCTCCCTGAGTACGCACTTTTTCCATCGGAATCTCAAAAGCTAGGATGTCTCCACTTTCCTGTTGCTGAATTTGGAGAAGCATTTGGGCCAGAGGAGAGCCAAGGAGGCTTACAAGGCCATGAGAGCAACTCGAATGCTCTGGGGCAGGGATGCCAAAAGGGAAGAATGAAACCCAAAGAAGAGAGGGGTGCACAGATACGTGTGAAGGGAGTGAGGTGGGCAGGGGGCAGGAGACCTGCTGGACTCAGATCCCTTATGAAAACAAAGTACAAAATGTTTTCCAAGGATTAATTTCACCAGGGAATGTTCAGAAGGGAATCTTGGCAATGGAAGTGCCCCCCGGCCCCTGCCGTTTCACTCTTCCTCCAAGGGTTTTACCACTTTGATTCCAATTGTCAACATCACCATGGGCCTGGCCCTTAGGGACACTTCTTTCTTCTTTAGAATCCCATTAACCTCAAAAATAGTCCTCAGACTGGGGCCACAGACCCCTTGCATCTGAATCACAACCAGTAAACAAGCACATTCCCAGGTCTGTCCTAGAGACTCAGGTGTCCTGAGTGTGGGTGAGTGGGAACCTTCTCGGTTAACCAGCACCCCAGGTGACCCTGATGTGCTGAGTTTGAGAATCCCTATTGTTTGTTGATGACCCTGAGTGAACAAAGAGGGAAATACGTATATAGACTGCAAACCTCATAAAAATACAAATAGCAGAAATATAATTGTATGATGATAGCATCATTCTTTTCTAGTCAAAGCAGAAAAGATTTCTATCTTGGTGCCAGGTTTCTTCCTTCACATCTCTCAGCCCACTTCCTCCCTTCCTCCACCCCTAGGCTGTTGACACCCCTCTTGCGGTACCCCCAGCATAGACACTCAAAGCTTATTTCGACTCAAATTCTTGTATGAAAAAAAGTTCTTAGGGGGTGGAAAGTCCCTACTCAGTTTCAGTTTCCTACCAGAGAAACAGCTTTCTCAGCAGCAAGTGGTCAGGTGCTTGCTAACAACAAATGACCTGCCCCAGCGCCGCCCTGAACATGAGTTCTCCCCAAAGACACCCTCAGCCCTCCACAGCAGGAAGTGGCCCCACAAGTGCAGTCTCATAGTGTAACACAACTTGATACTTATCATTCACAGACTAAGAATGAGCTTCAAAGCACTTCTCTGTAGAATTTAGCATATAGCAAACAAAGTATTTGGAAGCTGTATACCTTTATATAGTTTGCTGAACTTCTGAAAAATCAAGTATAAACTGACATGTAAGGTTTTAAACCCTGTTTCAGATGTGTATATTTATCCTCTTTTCTTGTCATAATTTGGCTCCTGATTATTGTCAGTTTCTTGGGGGTAAGGGAACCCATCTTCTCCTTAAATAAAATGAAATGTGGATGGTCTGAGATTGGTGCAGAAGGAAGCCTGTCCACGTGGGTAAGGGTGGTCAGAGGTCAGCGTTTCAGCGCTTTTTCCTCTCAGATTCACCTTCACCTCGTTGCAGATCACTTACTGTCTGCTCTTTTGAAATGGTCATGCCCATACGTATCACACACATTCTCAGAACAGGCTGGTACATTTAGATGCCTTGACAGGACTCTGCCAAAGAATAGGGAAGAACAAAAGGAATGCAGCACAGAGGTCCATGACTCTAGAGAGCTTGGCTTACCAAACTTAGCTTGCTTTCTGGGCTCAGGGGTCTTGTCCAGTCCTCAGTCCTCACTCTAGCTTAGGGCAGCCCATCTGGAGTCCATACAAAAACATCTGCCCTGCTCATAAAGAGTGAAATTAGAGTCTGGCAATCCTTCTCATATTGTTTCTCAGGCCCATTTCTGAGATGGCATCCAGTTAAGGCTTCATCTTCATGGATGGTTGAGGTGGGAAAGCTATTCAAGCTCCTCTTGATGAAAGATTCTACCTTTACCATTGGCCTCATCAGGCAACCATGTCAGAGCACAACATGGTACCCCAACATCCACACCAGAGCTGTACCTGTGAACACAGGGCACTCTCAAAAGTTCTCCTTCACCCTGACCTCTTTGTACCATGTGACTATGTTGACCACGCCTCCTCCTCTAAATTTACTCACTCCCTGTTCTCCATGGCCTCAGATACACCGATTTTCCTTTTCTCTCTCTGGCTGCTTCTTCTTATGATTATAACTTAAGTTTACATAGCTCTTCTGGGTGTTACAAAATTCATTCACAGATACTGCTTCATATGAGGAAACTGAGACACAAGAGAAATTAAGTTATTTTCTCCGTGACTCAGCGAATTCGTAGCAGAGTTGGAATTTGAATCCATGTCTTTGGACTCATGTCCTCTGTTCTTTTTTTTTTGCTACAGCCCAGCAGCCTGATGTGCTAATTTTGTGTGTAAAATATATCCCATCCCTCCTTTCCTACTCCTTTTATTATCAGATGTGAGGCTCATATCATCAGGATTAAAGAATTGATTGAAATACCTTTTAAATGAAGCTCCTCGCCATTCTGCTTATGGTCACCCGGTCACCTTCTTAAAACATGGCTTCCATCATATCACGTCCTAGTATCACTGACCTTCCATGAAGGATGCTTTATTGATTTCCCTTCACTGTAGAATAAATACTGCTATGTTTCTGAGTGCCTACAGAGCATCAAGTACCGTACTAAGTTCTTTATAATGTTTCTTCAATTTATTTATTAATTTATTATTTTTTTAAACTTTTTTATTGAGTTATAGTCATTTTACAATGTTGTGTCAAATTCCAGTGTACAGCACAATTTTTCAGTTATATGTCAACATATATATATTCATTGTCACATTTTTTTCACTGTGAGCTATCATAAGATCTTGTATATATTTCCCTGTGCTATACAGTATAATCTTGTTTATCTATTCTACATTTTGAAATCCCAGTCTGTTCCTTCCCACCCCCCATGTTTCTTCAATTTAATCCACGTAACACCCATTCAAGACAAGTCTTCATGAATTCCTTATTAATAGACAAGAAGACTGAGACTTTGTAAGTAAGGCATATTAAGGAATAACTCAGGGTTAAAAAATGTAAGTTTAAAGGTAGAATTCTAATCCATATCTGCTTGCTATTCTTTCCCTCTTTTTACCACACACAGCCTCTCTTGAGAAACTGACCAAGCTGTTGATTGACGATGATGAAGCCCATGGAAATTATAGAATTATTTTGTGAATAAAAGATTGCTTGACAGTGGCTTTTTTAAAATTTCAGTTCGGCAGCAAGTTCTGGAGAGAGAGAGTCATGAATTAGTATGGCCAGGAAAAGGAACATTCAAGTTAACTGTCTGGTTGCCCACAGCCCCAGATGATGGCTGTGAGGGGAAAAGTCCAACAAAGGTAAGTAAAGGAGTGATTAAAAGGGGAGTAGGGTGCTCTCCCAAGGCGTGTAGGGTGGGATTCATGGTGGGGAAGATACAGTGGAACGAGAACTATAACTCAAACTGGAGGGAGAAAAGCAACTCATTACAGATGTGGAGGGAGTGAGAGTGGGGTAGGGTGGGCTCGGAATAATGGAAAAGGAAGCACTTCTTGTTTGATTTAGACACTTTTGGAAAATTCAGGATTTGGGGGTTACCATCATGGTGGTTGGAGATGTAAAATCTTGGGTCGATTTGTCCTGGGTGCTTAATAACCTGGAACTCGCTATATTTGTTTTATTTTCACTCGGTTTTGAGGGGACAGCGCTTGATCTATACTGCATGTACTAAGTTTTTCCTCAATTGTAAAATCGGAGAGTCATAGTATTTACCTCTGTGGATTGTTGGATCATTGTGAGGATTAAATGAGATGTCCTCCATAAGGCATGTGGCACAGTGCTTGTTAATAGTAAATAATAAGTGTTATACGGGGAAAAGAACAGGAGCTGGGCTGTTTCTCTGATTTAGGTCTTACCCCAAACACCTGGTGTTTCTTTGGGGTTTCTCTTATTTGTGGGTTGTTTTTACCCGTGATTTGTGTGCAGAGTGAATGGATACACCACTGCATGTGACATGCATTCAACAGCATCACTACCTGAGCTGTTATCATTTCTGTAGACCTTCCATCTCCAGGCTGGTCCCAGGGAGACTTTCTTAGTGTAAAGAAATTATTAGTAATTTATTAATATTCCTTTATTGTTTGGGTTTCAGGAATCCAAGACCAAAGAACATGTCAAAGAATCAGGTAACTTCTCATTCACTAGGCAATTTTGCTTTTCTTAAAGGCTTTGCATTGCAGAGGTCACCCCTGTCTTCTTGACTTCACAAGACAGGATTGCTCAGCTGAGAGATGCTTTGGGCTGCATCACCTACAGCCTCTCAGCCAGCTGTGCACCTACATCCTCTCAGCCAGCTGTGCAAGCCAGCCTTCTGACCCTTGAGCTCTCTCTGTGGGGAGACACCTTACAATCGAGGGGAGGGTAAAGAGGTACCTGGGAGGTGGATGAAATGACTTTTAGAGTCCACCTGTGCCCAACCAGCCATTGAGAAGCAAAGAAGTGACGTGACAGTGGGTGCTGTGTGCGGCTAAGTCAGTTAGTGCTCCTTTGTGAACGCTGGGTGCAGGAAGTAGGTGCAGCCCTCCAGACCAGCAGCAGCTCTTCTTGTCCTGTCTGCTGTAGCTGTTGTGGACTCTGCCGCTTGACTAGTGTCTGGGTGCTGGCCTGTTGTGATACCTGGTACTTACTAAAGAAGCCACTAGTTTTCCTGGCTAAGCATGCTGTTATAAAGGTGAGGAAATGATGAACTGTGCTGAATGGCCAAGCAAGAGAGAGAAAGTGATACATAGATCCAAATCTTAGGGGAAAGAAATTAAAAAACTAAATATTGTCCTCTAAAATTGAAATTGTCTTAAGAACGTGTTTAGATTTTTGCAGCTTTCTCTTTTTGAGAATGGCTCTGGGATGAGAGCTGCCTTTACTTGTCAAAATGACTGAGGTTGTTTTTACCTAACATGGATGCACTTTAAACTGTAGAATCCATGCATGGTTCTCTTAAGAAACTCATGATTCTTGTGAGATAAGATTTTTTTTGTATCTTTTGAGGAAGTTCTGCTTCCTGTTCTTCAGATGTGGAACTGGCTCAGCCAACTCCCAGTGTTCACTGTGACCCCCTAATCCCGTATCTATTTCTTGGAAGACGCCTTAGTGCCATACCCTCAGGCTTAATTTGGGGCCAGGAAGTGGTTTTATATTTGTAGTATGTTTATAGTCTGTGCCATTTCTCACATCTGGAATTTAATCGTTTGTGTTTCTTACAGTTTTGTAGATTTCATTCTGTCTTAAGTGATTTGTTAGCACTCTTTCAGATTTGCTTAGAACTCCCAAGTGTATTCTCAGGAAGAGCCATCTAACCCCACCCCACCAATGGACTTCTCATTGTCCTGGACATTTTAGACCCATTTACTTACCTGTTTTATCCTAAGCCCAACTCTGATGGTGATAAACAGCTAGGAAGTTGGGTAGTTTTCAACAAGATACTCAAGCTGCTTTCTTTAAGAGATGGAAGAGGAGGTCCTTTGTTGAATGGTTGCTTCACACTGAATCATGACAGTGGTCCTAAGACTAGGACTCGTGAAATGAATTGGAATGCAGATAGTTTTCAGAACTGAGCACAGTGAGGGCTGGAGGGTAGTTCCCTAACAGGTTCCTTATCTCAGGGATGAAGGGAGCAGAGGATGCTGCATCATGGATGCACGAGGCATGCCTGAAACCCAGAGCTTCAAGTGAAGATTGACAAGTAGTGGACAGAGCAGAGGAAGGTCAATCAAGGCACACAGCAGCCTCAGGGCACGTGAGCATTTAGCCAATGTCCTGTTCTAAGCTAAGCTGAGTTAGGCTGCACCTGAATGGTAGAAACCAGCAATTGGAAGAACCTGGAGAAAAGAGAAGGTCAAGAGTGAAGAAGTACTGGTCACTGGTGGTCAGCACATTCTGGCATTTCCAAGTCTGCATTTCCAGCCTGCTCTGTCTTCTAAATTCCGTGCCTTGTGTCTGACCTTCTTACTGGAAAATGTGTTAGAGTCAACATGTCTGAAGCCACCTGTGTCATCCTCCTCAGCAAACCAGTGTCCTCTTCTGGCTTCCTTATTTCTCTGGAAGTACACAACTGGTCTGCCCATCATCTACTAGAGATTTCAGTCATCTCTCTTCTTTAAACCTTCACATACGTTCATCAAAGAGACTTCACAAAAATCTTTTAAAAATTTCCTGATCTATCCCTCCCTCACACCAGTCCCCTTGTTACATCACAGATCCAGCGTGGCAGGTACCCTCTGCTTGGTCTCTGTGTATCTCCTCCTTAAATCTGACCAGTCCTTTGCACAATTGCTCAACATCCTGTCATTCTTTTCACAGAAACCTTCCATGACCCGCCCACCTCAACACCAACTACAAGATAACCACATTCTGGATGAAGTTGACTTTTCTGCCTCATTTCTTACACCCCTGCACATAAATGCTCCTTGAACTTCATCTGTCAAGTTGCCATTTCCTAAATAGTTTTGGTGAAGCCCCGGCACTCTGTCTCTACGTCTGTTGCTCATAACACCCTCTACCCGACTTTTCTCTACCTAAATTCTAGATAGCCTTCAAGATCTACTCAGGTTCCTCCTCTTGTCTGAAGCCTTCCAAGCCAACCCAACCCCTTTCTCTCCCTTCTTTGGATTCCTGGCTTGATTGTTGATACTCTTTATTTGGCAGTTAACCAAGCCTCTCTTGTGATGAAGCTTCTAATAGTCGTGGGGTTATAAAACTATATTGCTGGTTTAAAAAAAAAACTGTATCGCTGGTAAGGCTCTTTCCATTCACTTAGTCCAGTACTCTCATTCTATAATTAAGAGACGTGCTGAGGTCACATGGCTAAAGAGTGGCTGGGTTGTGGGTTCAACTCATGTAGCTCCCCCCCAGCTCGGTGGGCATTCTGTTTTGTCATACCCATCTCAATGAATGCTACTTTGTGTTCTTATCAAAACCTTAGGCTGTTTTTACTTGGCAGGAGTGTGTGTGGTGTCACATCAATCACTTAAAAGGAGTATTTGTCAGCGTTATCTCACTGCTGTAACAACCCCCCAAATCACAGTTCAGTACAGTCGGCAGCCAGGGTGGTGGGGGGACTGCTTCACACAGTTGTTCAGGATCCAGGCTCTTTCCATCTTTGTGACACCATTGTCTTTGATATGTTGCCTCCAATCACTGCAAGAGAGAATGGAGATTCACTTAAAGGGGATTTGATTGGCCAGGCCTGGAAGTGGAATTCACTACTTCCACCCATATTCCATTAGCCACAGGAACTCTACTGTAGGAACTGAACAGTAGGAAGTCTGGGAAATGTTGTCTAGGAGGAAAGCAAAATGGATTTGGTGAGCACATAACAGTTATTCTGCCATAATAAACATTTACAGATGTCAGTTCCCTTTCTCATTTTCCTTGTATAGCTCCACCAGAAAATCTGTAAGTTCCTTATCTAATGTTTTTTGTGTGCACCCCTCCCTACACAACCAGTGCCTTGAACACAGTAACGGCTCCAATTGAATAGTTGTTCACAGGATGTCTAAAGATCACAACATATCCATCATGCTTCACTGGACAAGCACAGAGTGACACTGACCGTCTGTATACAGTTGACCCTTGAACAGCACGGGTATGAACTGCACAGGTCCACTTATACACGGATTTTTTTTCAATAAATATATTTGAAAATTTTTTGAAAATTTGTGACCATTGGAAAAAACTCATGGATGAACTGCACAGCCTAGAAATATGAAACAAATTAAGAAAAAGTTAGAAATGTCATGAATGCATAAAATATATGTAGATGTACGTATAATACATACAATATACAGAATATGTGTTAGTCAGCAGCTCATGTTATAGATAAGGCTTCTGGTCATCAGTAGGCTATTAGTAATTAAGTTTGTGAGGAGTGAAAAGTTATACACAGATACTTGACTGTGCAGGGGGTTGGCGCTCCTAACCCCATGTTGTTCAAGGGTCAACTGTGTATGTAACTCACTTACGGTCAACAATGGAGACGAACAAGCTGGCTGGGGTGGTTACTACTGAGCGAGTTTGAAGTAAATGCATAATTCTCTGGGCCATTTTATCTTCCATGTGTATACCCTAGTCATTCACTGCAAAGTGTCCTTTTTCCTCTTCAGTGATGGAAACTTACTGCTTTCAGAGCAAAATGTGTTAGCTGATGCCCATGTTTGGGCATTTTAGGATATCTTGTTTTCCTCCAGTGGCCTAAGCAGTAAATCTCTCAACTTTATTGAGCCTCAGCTGTATGCCATGTGCCAGCAGTAGAGCAATACAAAGATGAGTAAGTATGTCCCTTGCTTTTGAGAAGCTTGGTTCAATAACTGTAATATGGTGCTGTGATAGAAATATATGTCAAGTGCTATTAAAAATAAGGCAGGTTCCTCAGGGAAACGAGGCAGTAAAGAGTATAATGAAATTTAACATAATCATCGTCAGCATCACAGTAAGATTTAAAAGCTATTTTAGCTTTTAATTAAATTAAGCAAAAAGCCTTCTATGATCTGTTTTTATTTGAGTTAGCCAAGAGATCAGGAAGGGAAGATGGCAGTGGAATTATTTTATGGTGATTTACTTTGCTAAGAACATGGTAGATGGATGTAACATCTTATACCCTTTTTGTCTCCCTAAAATCAGATGTATCAGAAGAACTAGACGCAGATCTCTCTCTCAACAGAAGATCAGAAGAAGTGGAGAATACTGCCAAAGAACATGACAATATTTCCTCTTTGGTTGCATTTGAAAATGTCATGGCAAATATCACTGATATGATATTAATCCTGTTAGTTGAGAACATAAGCGGCTTGTCCAGTGATGACTTTCAAGTGGAATTAATAAGGGACTTTAATGTTGCTGTAGTTACCTTTCCAAAATACTTTGGTAAGATTGACTGATGCTCCATTTGCCAGCCTTCTTTGTGCTGCCCTTTGGGATTTGGGACACCCAGCTTAGGGTGAAAGCTTGACTCCTTCTAGTTGCTAGTAAGAGAGGCCTCCAAGTTAATACAGGCGTTTTCTTATTTTGAAAGAGAAGCAAATTTGTTTTGAAACCAAATTCTGGTATGTTTAGTAAATCAGGCTTTACTGTATGTGTTATATGTGTGTGCATGTGTGTGTGTGTGTGTGTGTGTGCGTGCGCGCATGTGAAAGAGAGAGACAGAAACACACAGAAAATGCACCCAAATAGAAATCTAAAGTCTCAGGTTATTTAAGTGATTCCCAGTGGAGGAGTCAGTGTTTTCCCATATGTTATCCCATTGTGAGGAGTAAATATTGATCTGTGTTACTAAACTAGGCTTACTGGAAGGTAGTAATAATGACAGCAAACACTCACATAGTGTTGCCATAAGTCAGGTACTACGCTAAGCTTATTCCATGTATTAATTTATTTGTTCCTTTCAACAATCTTTTGAGTTTATTATTATTATTATTCCTCACCTTATGGTTGAGGAGACAGAGACACAGAGATGCTAATAAATGGAAGCACTGGATTTGAACCTAGGTGGCCCACCTCTATACAGTCTCTTCTCTTATCCCCTTGACCATATATTTCCTTAGTACTTCCATGGCCATCACCTGTGCAGGGGTGAGTAAGTGCATGTGGTGCAGAAAATGGGTGCTCTTTAAGTCTGTGTGAGGAGTCTGTGGACAGTTTCTGAGATGATGGAAGAGTTATCTCCGGAAGACAAGGAAATTTTCCAATTCCGAGCCCTCACTAGCCCATGGCCATGGCAGTGGAGTGGCTGATTAGGAGCGCAGGTCATGCAGTCAGAATTCTAACCCCACCGTTTAACTAACTATCTGAGGTTACCCAAGTTACTACCTTCTGTATGCTTTACTTTCCTCATCTATAAAATGGGGACAATAATACCTACTGATAACAGTTTCCATGAAGATCAAATGAGATAATGTTTGAAAAGCCTTTAGCATTGTACCTGACACGTGGTAAGGACTCAATAATGGGAGCTATTCTTATTTCAAATTTATGATTATTTCTTATAAAGGGAAAACTAAGTCGACTTGCTTTAGTTTATTGATCAAAAATCTTGATCTTGAATACCTACTATGTGCCAGACACTTGTCTAGGTGCGATACATACAGAGATGAATAATTCTTGGTTCCAGCTCTCAAGGAACTCCTCTGGGTTAGGGAAGAAACCCATATGTAAGTGAATAATGAAGATGCAAGAGGAGAAGCTGCTTCCATCAGCTGTGAACAGAATGCTGTGCAGAATGGGAGGAAAGGGGACCCAAACATGGTGGCTTGGTTTTCTTGAAGTTCATACTCCAGCAGTCTCAGGCTGTTAGATCTCAGATGTGCCATGTTGTTTCATGGCACCGCTGGTCCCTCTGCCTGAAATGTTTCCTTCCCTGATCTGTCTGGCAAACTCTCTTCATCCTTCAAAACTCAGAGCAATGACTACTTACTCTGGGACTCCTTATCTGATTCCCCAGTATTAGTCTTCCCACATCATTTGATCCCCAAGTAGAATATTTGTTTGCTTTCAAGACTTCCTTCCTCTTGGATGGTGAGATTTCAAGGAACTGTTATATTCATCTCTCTATCCCCAGATCCTAGTATAGTGCCTGGTATACCATGGGCCCACTACCAATATTTATTAATTTGAAAGAGATAATTGGGCTGAGTCGTGAAGGAAGGACAGGACCAGGATAAAAAAAAAAAGATTGGAGAAGGGCATTTTCGGCACAGGGAATTGTATATACAAAGGCAAAGGAGAATAGAGTTTTCAAAATAATGACTAGTTTTGTGGCAATATGGAAAATAAAGTGAATGGTAGGGAATAACCAGAGGTGATGTTTAGAAATCAGTTGGGAGTCAAATAGCCAAGGGCATTGTAAATCTAGCTAAGGAGTGTGACCCATACCTGCAGACAGTGGGGAGCAAGTGAAACAAGGAGATTTGTACTGCAGAGAGAGCACTCAGGTGGTGGTGCCAGGCAGGTAGTGGAGAGGGCTGGGTCAGGGCAGGGACTCAGCTCAGTGTCAGTGATCTAGGTAAGACATTCCTGTGTGCATTGCCGTTCAGAGACTGGAAGCTTTAGGTATGTAGAATCTCATGTGGGAATTAAAATCTTCCATTAAAAAATCACGTGCTTAGCCTCCCCCTTTATCTCAATTAATAGTCAGACAGTTTCTTCTCTATAACATAAAGATATAATCATAATTTTCTGATTGATTAATTGATTATTGTTTGTAGATGCCGTGAAATTTGTTGATGACTGTGCCACACACCATTCAGTGAAAAAATTCCGGCTTTCTGCAAGACTCCTGGAAGTGACAAAAACAATCAGGGTGGAAAACCTGCCGCCTGGTGTTGATGACGATGATTTGAAAAGTTTATTTGAAAATCCCCGTAATGGAGGGGGAGGAGTTGTCCACATTGAATGTTTTCCTGAAGAGAGTTCATCTCTGATTGAATTTTTTGACAGAAAAGGTAATCTCTATTAGCCTGATTTTGTCAACCTTAACTGGCATAATCTAAGCCATTTTAGCAGATCTTAACAGTTCTCAGTTGAATTCTGATGTATTTTATTTTTTATTCATATATTTTATTGGAAATCCAACTAGTAATCCTGTTCACCTGGTATATGATGCTTAATGAATCCAGTGATTCAAACTTTAGAGAAGCAACATCAAGTTTTTGAAAGCTATAAAGACTTTCTCTCATGAGTCTCTACTTACAGACTGAAAAATATTTAATTCTTAGAGTATTTGAGATATTGTATTTAAACAGAGGTGGCCTGTGTTTTAGCTATACACTCGGTAGAGATTTTCAAGTTAATTTCAACAAGGTTAGGTAAAGAAATACTCAGAAACACATACAATTCCCATGAAGTATCACTGACTTCCCCTTTCAATGTCAGTGTCATCATTCAGAAATTAACTGGGGCAGTTCCACATGATCAGTGGATGCCTGCTGGCTTGTTCTTTGGCATCACCCTGTGAAAACCACATCCAATTGAACCTTAGGGAAACACTTCTGAGGATTTCGTAGACATAGATTGCCAGTTCTCTGAGGCATGTGCGAGGTCAGCTTGGAAATTCCACTGATGTTCAGAAGTCAAGACTGAGGAGTAGGAATTAGGGAGTCTGACTTCTTAGGGAAAGAAAGAACATTGTGACTGAGGGTGCATGAGGCAGGATCCTGTGGTATGCCAACCACCTGAGATAAATTTTTTCTTGGGGGTACTTGGAAGAACCTCCTTCAGCTTTGATGAGCCGGGGAAATGGCAGAGAAGGTATGGTTTGGATTAATATGGAATGAAAAACCTACTGTTCCTTGGGCAAAGAGACAAAAAGGAGCATCTGTTGCGTGTTCTTTAAATCTCTTAACCTAGCCTTGGGCCCAAGGAGAGAGTTACGTAAAGCTGTCCACTCTAGAAGTTAACCTCCCAGCTTATGGTGGGAGCTGACAACTTTGGGGCTTTCAAACATGTCAAATGCATGGGGCAGTTGGGTGTGTCCTCAGAATGTCTATGTTACATATGTATGAATAATAGTAGGAAATTTTAAATTCAGGTTGTTTTAGGCTAGAACAGCACCTGTGAACATCGGGTAGGCTCACATTGCCCTTTGCCCTGACCTCTTTGCACCATCGGACTGTGTTGACCACGCCTCCTCCTCTACGTTCACTCCCTGTTCTCCGTGGTCTGAGATACCCTGACTTTCCCTTTCTCCCTCTGGCTGTGCCTTATGATTATGGCTTACACTGGCATAGCTCTGAAGGGTGCTACCAAGTGCATTCACAGACAGTGCTTTAGGGACATTGCTATTATTGTCATCCCTATTTTATAAATGAAGAAACTGAGGCACGGAAGGTCAGATAACTTGACCAAGGTTACACAGCTAGTAAGGGACAGAGCCAGGATTTGAATCTGGGAAGTCTGGCCCCACAATCTGTGCTCCTAACTTCTCCACTTTTCCCCAATCTCCTGTTCATCTATAACATTAATTTTTCTTGTAGGATATTTCATCACTTACAATGAGTTACCAATAATGAGGAAAACTGTAAATAATGCTGGATTAAAACCAGAATTTATTTAGCAATATTGTATTTTATATAGATTATTTGAAAGGAATAAGTTAGGCACTTTACTCTGAAATTATTCAGTCCAGCTTCACAAAATCTGATTCACAAAGTCTCAAGGAAGGGAACTCTTACTGAATGCCTGTTATGTATGAGATCTCTTGCTGTGTTTTCTGCCACAGTATCTCACCAAATACTCATAATAACCTGCATGGTTATATAGTTACTTTTTTTTTTTTTTAAAACAGAGGAGGAAACAGGATGGAGAATGTAAGACACATTAAGGTGACATCTGTGATGGTTCTTGGGTCAGACAGACCTGAGTTCACATTCCTGGCTTTGGTGCTTACCAGCTTAGTGATCTTGTGGAGGTTCCTTGCACCCCCCAAACATCTGTTTTTCACCTGTAAAAGGGGGCTCACATTACTACTCACTGCAGAGGAATCTTGTTGTAAGGATCAAATGAAATTGCACCTGCAGAGTGCTTGGCACATGGTGGATACTCAGTGGTGCTGCCCAGGCCCAGAGCCTGTTCCAGGCCATGGTGGGACCTTGGAACCATGTGTCTGGGCCTCTGAAGGCCACATTCCTTTCATTAGGTCTGGCTCCAGGCCTAGGAACCAATCACATACAAGGTGAAGTTATTTTTAACAACTTTTCACAAGGTGGTATTTTAATCTGAGTTGTTACTGAGGTTCGTTCTGATTCCCTTCCTGCTTAGACCCCTTGTATCTGTCTTATAACACAAAGTGAAAAGGGGCTTTGGGAAGAGGAGTACCCCTACACCCACACCCACACCCACACCCATGCAGGCACGTTCGACTGTCCCAGTGAACGTGGCGGGAAGGGGATTAGAGCAGGGATGAGGGAGGTGCAGAACGTACTGAATCTGGGGCTGGGCTGTCTGGTGACTGTGAGGATCATCTTGGTTTGGAACCCATGGTAGAGGGACAAGGGCTTTGGAGTCAGACAGACACTGACTTGAATCTTAGCTCAGATATTTATAGTCTGCGTGACCCTATTCAAGTTACCTAACTTTTACTAGATTCAGCTTTATCATTTATAAATAGGAATGCTAATAATAGTGTCTCTACCTCAAAGGGTTGTTGTGAGGGCTAAACATATGTAAACCACTTGGAATATTGTCTGACAACGGTAAGCTATGGTAATTCCTATTGTGCGCCTCCCCTTAGGAGTGTTAATGGCATCTAGGTCATCTATGAAATCTAAAACCGTGCGGCTGCACAAGAAGCAGATAGTGTGACTCTTCAATGAGCTTTGCTCTGAGCACAGAAATATTCTTCACACTGGGGCAAACATTTTCCCCACACTGTGACCAAACTCCACTCTCTTTCTTAACCTGGTGGTGGTGTATCAGTGTTATCAGACACAGAAAATAGAATTTCTGTAACAAAATTTCAACCTTGAGTGTTCTTGGCTGGAAAGTAATCATTCCATGAAACAAGGGGTACCTGTGCACTGGTAATACACATCAGTTTATTTTTAAGTGCTCTGGGAGTAGTGCCACTTTTTAACAGCATGTGGTAACATCAGAGTTCTACAAACATGGGGATGTTTTTTCCCTTAGAATAGGAAAGTCTGTTTGCTTGTTTTTTTTTCATCTGAAACATATTACACTGGGATTACTTTTTTTTTTTTATTTCTTTCCTTTAAGTGGTAGACACCATCCTGACCAGGAAACTTGACCTCAACAATATGCCACTCTCTGTGTTCCCGTATTATGCCTCTTTGGGCACAGCTTTGTATGGAAAGGAGAAGCCTCTGATCAAGCTTCCAGCACCATTCAAAGAATCACTGGATCCTTCCTTATGGAAGTTCTTTGAGAAAAAGAATGACCTGACTAAGGAGATAAATGATGAAATGAAACATTGTCACTGTGAGCTAACATGGTGCCAACTCAGTGGTGAAGTGACCATCAGACCTACGGCCACCTTAGCCAGTCAAGGGAGACTAAGAGTCAAGACCTGGCGGGAAGATGTTTCCACAGTATTCTCTGGCATCAAGTCTAAATATAAAGTGACCCCGTTTAAAGTGGAGCCAGTGGTGTGGGATGCCATAAAAAACGATTTAGAAGATGATAGGATTTTGATTGAGTTTGATGCACTCACAGGGATGGTAACCTTAGTGGGGAAGTCAGAAGATGTACAAAACATTGAGCCACATATCAAGGACTTAATAGAAAGTACCACTCAAAAAATTAAAAGAGAAGAGCAAAGTCTGAAGCAAAAACTGGCCATTCCTCCAGGAAAGTATTCGCTTCTGCTGCACAGTGGTATACAGGAGCATCTCCGCACCGAGTGCCCAGAGATGGAGTTTTATTATGATGAAGCTTCTCAACACATGTGCTTCAAAGGACTTCCTGAAGATGTGTATAAAGTGAAGTGTGAAATTCAGGAAAAGGTATACACCATGGGTCAGAAAAAGATTCAGCTTCCCCCTGAGGTTTTCCAGTTTCTGCAACAGGTAGACTGTGTTGAATTCTCTAAGTCTCTTTTTATAACACAGAATATTCTTGCAATTTATGAGCTAGAGGGCACAACTGTTCTCTTAACCGGCTCTTCTTCTGAAGTCCTGTTAGAAGCCGAAAAGCAAATGATCAGTGCCTTAAATTATAAGCTCATCAAAGTTGAGGACAGGGAAGTTCTTAATGGCAAGAAATGGAGAGGGCTCACTTCCAATCTGCATAAGAAATACAATTCCTCCTCAGAGACTGTCATCATCGATGAGGTAACTTCAGGGACCACAGCCCAGGTCGTCATCGCAGGCTGTGTGAAAGAAGTAAATGAAATCCATGACTTGGTTTCTGCCTTTGTGGAAAAACACATGAAAATAGAGAAATTGATTGAAATAAAGCCTTCCTTAGTTATTGATTATTTAAGGACAGAAAAGCTATTCCGGCAAAAGATCAAGAAGGTAAATGTTCAGGTAAGTTTCAATCTTGAGGACAAGCAGAAGGGCATTTTGCTAACTGGCTCAAAAGCCGAAGTTCTGGAGGGAATGGACCTTGTCAAACAAACCTGGGATTCGGTCTGCGTTAAAAGCTTCCATATTGACAAGCCAGGAGCCGGTCAGTTCTTCCAGGATAAAGCACGGTATTACAAAAGTGAGGTCAGAAGGTTATTTGGTTGTCTTATTGAACTCCAGAAGGATGAAGAAAAGGAGGGAGGCAGCACTGGTGGGCAGCGGTGCTTGTTTCGGACAGACCTGGCCCCTGGGGTCTCGCTGATCGTGCAGCAGGGCGACCTGACGCGGTTTCCCGTTGAGGTGGTGGTGAATGCGGCCAGTGCAGACCTCCAGCTCACAGGTGGCCTGGCTGCTGCTCTTTCAAAAGCCGCTGGCCCTGAGCTCCAAGAGGACTGTGACCAGATAGTGAAGAAAACAAAGGGCAAGATCTCACCTGGCTGTGCCGTCATCTCAAAAGCAGGAAAGCTCCCATACCACCACGTGATCCACGCAGTCGGGCCCCAGTGGAAGACAGACGAGACCCTGAACTGTATGTGGCAGTTGAAGGGAGCTGTGAAAGAAAGTCTCCATTTGGCTGTAAAACACAAGTACCGGTCGATAGCCTTCCCTGCGATCAGTTCCAGGACCTTTGGCTTTCCCTTGCCCCAGTGTGTGGAGACCATTATTTTGGCGATCAAGGAATGTTTCCAGTATACCTGGGCTGGATGCAGCTTGAAAGAGATTTACCTTGTGGATGTAGCTGAGAAGACCGTTGAGGCCTTTGCTGAAAGTGCAAAAACTATATTTAAAAGCACCCTGTCTGATGCTGCTTCCCTGCCCACTTTGCCAGCAGCAGTCCAGCCCAGCTTGAGCAGAGATCATGGAAACACACCCAGCCTGTTGTCCCCAGAAGGCCTGAGGATCCTGCTGGTGAAAGGAGATGTGCAGAGTGCCACAGTGAGTGCCCCATTTACAGAACACCCACCCCGGGGGCTGGGCCTCCAGGGAGCCTGCTGCCAAAGGGCTATTAAGATCCAGGGGAGAATCTCACACCTTCCATCCCTGCCTTGAAACAGGTTTCCTTAGAAAACTGGGCTGCTTCCCCCAGGCATTCACTAGTCGAGATTGGCCAATGATCTGTGGGAGCTGATAGCATATTCAGGTCACTAGTTTCCAGGAAATGTGAAAATTCACAATTATACCTTACATGGTCAAGGCTCTACACTCTTTCAGTGCCTTGACACCTGTCATATGTTGGCAAATCTCAGGTTAATTACTTGTCAAATTTACTGCAGATACAGAAAAATTAGAGCGTGAGATGGGGACAGAGGACAGGAATTTTGTCAGTGGCATTGAACCAGGGGGCACTGAGTCTGAGGCACCATAATCACCCAATGCCAGTAAGAAAATGTGGGGAGAGGTAGAAAGTGGACCCGGCAAAGGTCTGGGTATTATGTAGGGACAATTCTTGTAGGTCTGCCAAGAGGGGGTGACATGTTTCTTTAAAAAGGTATTTAGCAACCTTTTCAACACAGACTCTAACTAATCAGAACAGCCCTGGAAGCCCCCTGCTGTGCCAAGTGTGACTTCCTCAGCTGGGGGCCTGTGGGCAGTCCTAGGGCAGGGATCCCTAGGGAAGGCCATTTGCATATCTTCTTTGGAGAAAAGTCTGTTCACATCCTTTGCCCACTTTTTAATAGGGTTCTCTTTTCTGAAACTGAATACTAAGATTTCTATATATATTCTGGATATAGATCCCTTACCAGATAGATAACTTGCAAATATTTTCTCTCATCCTGTGGATCATCTCATTTTTTGTTGTTGTTCAAGTTGTTAGTTTGTTTAAGTTATTTTTGTTTTAGTTTAAAATATGGAAAGAGACTATAAAAAATTAGATTTCTACTTACAGTAAGCTTAAATCCCGATTACAAGAATGATAGTGAACACTGCCTGTTTGCTCGGTGCCAGGCACTATGCTAAGTGCTTGGAATGCATTTTCTGATTCAATGCTGTGGGGCAGATTCCAGGAGTGTTATTATTCTCATGTCACAGGTGAAGGAATGAGATTTAGAGGGGTTAAGTGATTTGCCCAAGTCCCACAGCTAACAAATGACAGAGCCAGAATTGGGATGTTCATTGCACTATTTCAAAATAGTAAAAGTAACTTTGTGTCTCATTTTAAAAACTAAACAAATAAAGAAAAAAACTCTTTTGACCAAGGGTCAGTAATTGGAATGAGTTCTGATCCCTGTCCACCTTGAACACTAACAGTAAGACATTCCTTCCATGCCTTTCACTCCCATAGATGTGTGGCTTCTGATGCCACAGCACCTGCTTCACATCACTCTTCTGTGACCCACGTGGGGCAGCTTTGACGGTCACTTGGTCACATTCCCTCTCCAGTCTCCTCTTGGTGTCTTAGTCAAGCCTGATTAATCTGCTCACCTTAACTGTCCTGCTGAAAAAGCTTCCCTGGCTCTTCACTGCTGTCAGGCAGGCCCGGCGGCTCGGTACCCGAGACCCTCTGCAGTCCACCCTCAGTGTACCATTTCTGGCCTGACTGGCACCATTTTGCTGCAGAAGCTCTCTATCCAGGTCAAACTAATTTGCTTGCTGCTCACAACCGACCACGCTTCCGTTCATGCGGTTGCCCCTCCTGAACGACCTCCCTGTCTCTCTCTGCCTGCTGCAACTGTTCCCACCTCTCAGACCCCACATCCCTCATGGCGTCTTCATGAGCCTTCAGTGTTCCCATGCCATTTATGCATTGCTTTTTGACGATTCTCTTTTGTTCTGGAGGGTTATTTAAACAGGTATCTAATAACGCTTAGTCTCAAGGTGGTATTTCAATCTCTGAAAAGTTAATCATCTTAGTTGTCCTTCATTGTGCCAAGCCCAGTGGCTCAAATATAGAAATCCTTGTTGGATGTTTTTCTTAGACTTTGAAACAAACTGTTGGTTTTGTCTTCAAGACCGATGTCATTGTCAACTCCATTCCCTCGAATCTTGAGCTCAACAGAGGGCCCCTTTCCAAGGCCCTCTTAGAAAAAGCTGGGCCAAAGCTTCAGGAGGAATTGAACACTGCTGGGCAAGGGATGTCTGCTGGCTCAGGCACAGTCCTCCAGACCACTGGCTGCAATCTGCCTTGCCGCCGTGTGCTTCATGTGGTGGCTCCGGACTGGAGAAGTGACAACACATCTTCACACAAGGTGGGACCTGGATTTGAATTCTCTAGGAAACTGGGTAGCCCTTTGGACTCTCCTTTCAGTAGAATGTAGATTGGCCCCTGTCTGTTTCTGTTCTGGAATAGCATCACTTTCTTGGCAGGTTCCATCATCCTGGCCATTTCTCTCAGCTCTAGCTGACTTCTCCTCAGGACTAGTTAATAATAGAAATTTATTGTAGTGCTCAACCATTATTGGGGCTTGGGGAAGAGTTACTGAAGACAACACTCTTTAGTGAGGAAGGCAAGGTGAGGCCACGAAGAATGGAAGAGAATGAAAGATCAGAGCAGTAGTTGCTTTGCTTCAGTCCTTCATTGCTGAGTGAGTTTGAATCTTTTTGGAGGGTCTCACACATTTTTTTTCCCTTTTCCTCATCTACTCCTTTATTTTTCTTTCCCCTTCTGACTGCCCTTAACCTGCCTTTTGTTGAAAGCAAAAAGGAGTAGACAGAGATCACAAAGTTGCTAACTTCTTGTTCTTTTTTTTTTTTTTTTCAAATTGCCATTTCTAGGCAAAATGTATAAGAATGTGCTTTGTGCTTTTCAGATCATGGAAAACATAATCAGAGAATGTTTGGAAATCACTGAGCGTTTGTCCTTAAGATCAATTGCATTTCCAGCAATAGGAACAGGAAATTTGGGGTTTCCTAAAAATGTTTTTGCTGAATTAATCACTACAGAAGTGTTGAAATTCAGTAGCAAGAATCAACTGAAATCTTTACAAGAGGTTTGCTTTCTGTTGCACCCAAGTGATCATGGAAATATTCAGGTACGGTCTTAGGCTTACTCATTATTTGGCATCAGAGCCCTAACAAATGTGTGTATTCTTAGTCTAGAAAGTTGTATTCTTTCATGTATTTTCATATAGGAAAGTAAAAGAGTAGTGTGGACTAGTTGTAGCATGGCAAATTTCAAGCAAATTTATGGATATAGAAAAAAATTTGACTTCTTATTAAGAAACATTTCAAACATATAAAAAAGTAGACAAAATAGGATAATGAAATCCCTTGTCTTCACCATTCATCTTCACAACGATGCTTCATCTCTACCTCCATTTATTTCCCTTCCTCCCATATTATTTTGAAGCAGATCCCATATATACATTTTACCCTTAAACAGTTCAGTATTTGTTTTAGACATTAGGATTGCTTTTTAAAAGTAACCTAACTACAATACTATTTCACATCTGAAAGAAATTAACAATTATTCCTTTATGTCATCAATGATCAAGTCGATGGTCACATTCTCAACAGTTTCATAAATATTTTCTTTTGTTTTTTTATAGCTTGTTTGTTTGAATCAGAATCCAGATAAGACCCAAATATTGCAATGGAGTCAACGTACCTCTTAACCCTCTTTTAATCTATAGAGTTTTCTTTCATATGAACTTAGAAATTTTAATACATAAAAATAAAAGTACAGTTGTAGTCCTGTAAACAGGAGAATGGCAGGATGAGATGCAATTGAAGGGTATGTTAGAATGAACTCAGCACATCCCCCCAGGAGTAGGACAGTTGGGACCAGAAATACCAGAACCATCTTCGGTCATAGAGAGTTCATCAACCAGCTCACATTTGCTGAACATCAGCTGTGGATGAGTAACTGGACTTGGCATTATGGGAGAACCATAATAAGAGGCCATTCTCCCAAGTCCTTAGAGTCAGAACAGTAGATGAAATTAAATGTTTGAGAAGTCCTATGATAGTGCAAGAATTAAACATATTAAGGCCAGCAACCCAAGAGATGTCCATAGATCGTTGGACCAACTGAATTTTTAGATCATACTTAATTTTTTTCTGGATCTAGACACTACCTTTGAATACTTTGGAAGTAAACAAATCTAAATTCTAATCAGACAACTAAACCACCCAGGAAAAATATGTGGTCCATTTAGTTGGCCTGTATAACCAAAGTCATTTCTAGTCAATAAATGCTTTTTGAACAACCTCCCTTTGACTTGCATTGTACAAGGTGATGTGGATCACAGAACGGGCATGTAGCAATACTCTCCCTCCCATAAATCATAACTCCTTTGGGAGCTAAGATCTATACTCATACAATGAACTAAATCAGAGATGTGAAGTGCTGAGAGTTTTTGAATGAATGGCTGAGTAAACAGGGAAGTGAGTCCTGTGACACAAATCTGAACCTTCAGATCTCACTATTTCTATGCAGCCTCAGCCTTTGTTTTCTTTCCTAAAGACTCAGAGTATTCTGCAAGTATTCTGTAAAAGGATTTGTCTATTCAGACACCTGTATTGCCATTGGAAATAGTATTGATTCTCCATACATTACTGTGACACTACTTCTTTTAAGACTTTTAAAGACAGTTGAGCTTTGGTTATATTTCCACAAAAAATCAATAAATCTTACTGAGATATTTAGGGGTGGACAGATGTAACAGATGTCACAAAACAGCAGCCCGTGGTCTGAATGTAGCCTCTAGGTGCGCTTTATTTGGGTTTTTTTTTTAAAAAATTGAATCAGTTGCTGACACTTAAGAACCAAACATGTCACATAAAACTCCAGATGTCCACTGTGACCTAAAAATTCAAAAGTCTGGCACACTGGACATGGATCTCTACCTGAACAGTTTGCTGTGGCTGAATGGCTCTCTAGTTCTCCAGCGTTGAACCAGTCCACCTTTACACCTGACCTTTACACCTGTAGGTTGCCTGCCTGGTCACTGGAGGTCTTGAAGCTGGAGACCTTGTGTCTGTATTCTCTCAGTTCCTCTGTCATTACTGTATCAGCCTTTTAGCCAAGATGTTACTTGTTCCCTCCCAACCACCACCAACAAAATTCCCTGTTGCTTTTTCAAACGGAGGAAGAAAATGATGATTTGGGGGTGTCACTACCGGGCAAAGAAATGGAATTCCAGCCTATTGCTCCAAAAACACTACTCCCCTAGCCATTCCTTTCCTGGTACAAATAAGAAATTAAAATCTGAAGTGTTTGGGTCCTTGCGATTGTCTTTCTCTTAACACTGTATTTTTAACAACTGCAGGCTTTTTTCTTTTACTGATTATGAAAGTAATACAATGTCATTGTAGAAACTTTGAATAATATAAAAATACTTAAATTCTTCTAGTTGTATTTCATCCCGGTCTTTTATGTATATGGACTTCTAAAAGTGGGATTATATAATGTAATTTAGTATCATTCTTTTTTCATTTAATAGTATAAAATAAGCATTTCTCTATGCCATTAACTATTCTTTGAAAATGTGATTTAAAAAAAAAGATTTTTATTTATTTATTTATTTTTATAATGGAGGTACTGGGAATTGAACCCAGGACATAATGCGTGCTGAGCATGCACTCTGTGACTGAGCTACACCCTCCCCCTGAAAATGTGATTTTTAATGGCTGCTAAATACTAAATACATATGGACCTACTAAAATTTATTTAACCATTTTCCCATTGGATTTTTAAACTGTTTAATTTTTTTCTTGATTATAAATAGAACTATAAAGAATATCTTAGTATTTATACCTTTGTTCACATCTTTATAATTTTCATAGTATATATTTATCAAAATGGAATTTATGTATTGTCTCATAACTTATAAATCTATAATAAAAATAAATAATACTTTGAGAATTGTTCCATCCTAAACATTTGTGCATGCATGATCAAAAGTCTTGATGACTCAAATTCATTCATCTACTGAGGACTATAGTGGTCAAAACTGTCTTTGTATTTACAGGCATTTTCAGATGAATTTGCCAAAAGGGCTAATGGAAATTTCGTCAATGACAAAATTCCCATGGCTGAAGACACACAAGGTTCAGTAAAACTTTTAAATTGAGACATTATTTCTTGTTGCTAAATAACTATTCAGTGATAAGTGAAAAATGATAGGATGATTTTTATGAAAAAATCAATTTGTGATAAAGAAGATATTAAATTGTATTCCATATACCTGGGCATGCAAGGCCCTGGCCATGTTTGTGTGATCTAGAGGGAAAGAGTAGGCAGGCCAGTCTATATAATCTGCACAATGGGCTCTTAAACAGAGACGAGGCTACTATTTTCTAAGGGTGATGTGATATGTGTTTTCAGAAATAGACATACTTAAAGAGATAATACCAACCGAGTGCTTCTCCTCTGTCAAAGTTACTGTTGTATATTTGAGTTTATCCTGTTTGAAGTTTGCTGAGGCTTCTTGAATCTGAATATGCATGTCTTCCGTCCAATTTGGGGATTTTTCAGTCATTTCTCAAATATATTTTTCTGCACTGGTCTCTCTCTCCGCACCTTCTGGTGCTCCAGTAACATGGATGGTAAGCCTTTTGATAATGTCCCATAGGTCCTTGAGGATCTGTTCTTTTTTTTTTTCTGTCAATCTTTTTTCTCTCTGTTTTTCAAATTGGATAATATTTATTGATCTACCTCCAAATTAGCTGACTTTTTTTTTCTGTCTACTACACTATTGAGCCTATCCTGTGAGTTTTAAGTTTTAGACGTTGTATTTTAAAGTTCTAAAATGTCCGCTTGATTCTTATAGTTTATATTTCTCTACAGAGCCTCCTATTTTTCCATTAATTCCAAATCATTTCCATGCACTCAAATATGTTTATTCTGACCTCAGGGAGCATAGTTATAGTAGATGCTTTAAAGTCTTTGTCTGACCATTCCAGCATCTGAATCATCTTGAGATTAGCGTCTGCAGTGAGTATCTTTATCCTTGAGAACTGGCCACATTTTCCTGGTTCTTTGAATGATAAGCGATTTTCAGTTCTAGAATGAGCATTTTAAACATTATGCTATGAGACTTGGGTGCTGGTAGAATCCTCTGGAAAATGGTGATTGTTTTGTTTGTTTGCTTGTTTGAGCAGGCAGCCAATCAGTTAACTTCATTCGAAAAGTTCTGTCTCACCTGTGGGGCAGAGGTTCCAAAGTCAATTCCATTCTCAAGGACGTTCCTGTGCTGCTTGGGGCTGCCCCACGTGCCCAGCTCTGGGGTGGGCTCAGGGTTGACCCCAGTTCACACACAGAACAGGGGGTCACCTTCTCCGGCTTACCTCTCTAGCATTCCCATTACACTCTCTGACTCGCAGGAGCCCATTTTCCAGGTCCTCTGGCCAGAAAGACAAGGTTCTCTCAGAGCTGAAGCTGCCTGGTTGTTCTGTTGCCTCATGGTTTTGTGTGATCAGGGTTGCCCTTGGGCAAAGCAGAGAGAAAAGAAAGGGCAGGGGTAGGGGGGGTGAGGCGGGGGCAGAGCAAATAAACAAAAACCAGGGATGTCCCATACACCACATAGACGCTTTTCAGACTGATTCTTCTAGACAGAAAGACAGAATGTCTCTTAGGGTTTAGCTCCCAGCGGTGTCACTGTTGAGTTCTGCAACCAGGGCACCTTGGGACAGGGCCTGGATTAAAGAAGGAAAAACATGGAAAAAGAAAAGATGAGGCCTCTCTGCCATACGCTTCAGCTCCCAGGGACCCATTTTCTCAACCCTCTGGCCACAAAGACAGGGGTGCTCTGAGAGTTTTGCTGCCTGTTTCACTAGGTTGGTCTGCGACGAGGGCCACGCTTGGGTCAAAGCTGGAAGAGAAAATGAGGGAAATTTTCAAAACACAACAAAACAGGAAACTCTCCTCTGTACAGGCTGCTGCTTCAAGTTTTGAACCCCTCCCTTCAATCTGCCTGCTGTGGTGAACTTCTCATATCTCAGGGAGGGGCTTTTTGTATCTGTCCCACGTTTTTAGTTATTACCAGTGGCAGAGAAAGGCTCGAGTGGGCTGACCACCTTGGCCAGCAGCAGAGGTCCTCATTTGATATGTATTACATTTTATAATCCTTTTCCAGAAACAGACCATCACAGGGGCTCAGGGCCAGGGCCAGGTTAAATGCCACAGGTCACAGAGAGAGTGAGGGGGAAGGATGAGAGGGGCAGAGGTTGAGGACCATGAGATCTAGTTCATTCTTGTTGTTGCTGACCTGTTACTGACCCCTCCTGCCTTTTTTTTTTTTTCTTGTCAGGTTCCTATGGGACTGTTTCTAGCCCTGATTTAGGAGTGTATGAAATGAAAATTGGGCCCATCATTTTCCAGGTAGCCTCTGGAGACATTACCACAGAAAAGGCAGATGTGATCGTTAATTCAACATCCAAGACATTTAATCTCAAAACAGGTACTTGACTTGTAGAATTTTGACTAGTGTAATAGTCACAGTAGACCTGTAAAGGAGGGTTCCTACAGCCAAACTGGTTTCTACAGCTTTGGCTTCTTACTATTAACTAGTAATTTAAAAGTTATTTTCACACTGTTTCTCATAATTGTAACAGCTCTTTCATTGGTTTTTTTTTTCTTCGTTGTTATCGGGAATACCCAAGTTATAGGATTCCTCTGATGATGGGGAAAGTGTATAGATAGAGGATATCGTTGTGATCCAAAGGTCCTGTAATGGCTTTTTTATTCATGTGCATTGCGATCTTGACTTTCTCATGTAGGGGTCTCCAAAGCAATTTTAGAACGTGCTGGGAAAACTGTGGAAATGGAATGTACTCACCAAGGTAAGGCACAACGCTATTTTATTGGATCTGAATTTTAAGTGGCAGACTGAATACGGGAGGCTGGAGGATGGGGAAGGTCTTGAGATTGGGCAGACAATATAGTGATCTTAAAACCATACCTTTTACTAAGGAGTTCCAGCTGTAGAGAATTAGAAATGAAAACTAATCTCTGAGTTAAAAGAGAAGCAAGAAAGATTCATTGAAGGTAGTATTCCAGGAGTCTCTGATCCACATAAAATGTTTTATTTGCCGATTCAGATATTTTCAAAGAGTGGGTTCAGCACCTACTTTTGCATCTTTTGTCTTGTGTTTCCCAGCTCAACAGGGACACAGTAATTATGTAATTACCCAAGGAGGATTATTGAAGTGCAAGAATATCATTCATGTCATTGGTGGAAATGATGTCAAGAACTCGGTTTCCTGTGTTTTGCAAGAGTGTGAAAACCGGAATTACTCATCCATTTGCCTCCCAGCCATTGGGACAGGTTTGTAGCCTCTGGCCGTAGAGGCTAAATCCCAAGGTGGCCACTTGCCCTGGACTTGGTGCTGATGGGTAACGTGGTTAATGTCATTACTGCTGAGTCTGTGTCAGGGCACTTCCTCACCCCAGGGCAGCCCCTGAGGGAAGGAGCAAAGCCTGGGGGCAAAGCAAAAGAGGAAAGAATGAAAAAAACTGGAGTGTTGGGATATTAAAAATCTGCTTTCGCATATGGACAGGAAGGGAGAGGAAGGAAGGGGGAGAGAAAGAAAGCCCACCTCTCATCGCTTTCATCAGCTCCTTCTCTTTTTTTCGATCCCCTGCATATCCCTCATTATTTAGTCTTTAACCTCCCGCTCCAGCCCCCTCCATGGAAACATCAGAGCATGGACCTCAGCCTCCTTGTGGCCGACTCCTAGTCAGCATGGCCACTTCTCTTCCCTCACCTCTTCAACAGTAGTAGGCTGGCCGCAGGGCATCTGGGCCTCTCAGTCATCAGAACCTTTTGATGGGTCAGAAACTCAACCCTCCACCTTCCTCGTATCAGCCTGCCTGCCTCTTTGGAACTTCTTGTTTTCTTCAAATTACGTAATGATTGTATGAGTCTTCCTTTATAAGGATGGTGCTTTGCGTTTATCATTTGTAAAGTGGTGCTCTTTGAGCTCTTTCCCAGGAATCTGAGTCGTGTGCATTGATCAGGAATTCCAGCTTGGTCGATTTTAAGGGAGCTGCTCAGGGGAGGCAGACAGTCTCAGGCTTGAAGCGGAACAGAGCTGATTGGTCCCAAAGAGAGCACGCTCAGCACTGGATTGATCATCCCATTGCTCAGGAGTCTAAGTTTGAGTGTCTCACGCAGGCATTCTAGGCTCTCCAGAAGTGTAACCTCAATAGACCTAACCATCCTTGTCACTTTCTGGGCCGTCTTCTAATCCTCTATCTCATAGTTTGATTTCTCTTTTCATTCCTCTTAATGTTCCCACATGGACTGCTATGTCTGCTTTATTAGTTCTCTATTTCTAAAGAGTGAAACTTACACTCCCTGTATGCTTTCATTCCCTCATGTATCTTCCAGTCCTAACGTATTATCTGTCTGTCTGTCTGTCTGTCTACCTATCTCCCTATCATTTTTTATGGACATCCACTAATGACTCCCCAGTCTCCATCTCCATCTGTTTTTCCCTCTGAGCTCCGGTCGTGTGTTTCCACCTTAACTTTATTTGTGCCAAGAAATCAGGCAGCCAAGGGTGGCACAGATCTTTTCAAGGAAGTCCCTGGGTGGAGTCACAGAGGAAATAAGGAAAATTTTAGTTTTGTATAAATATTTCTTGTTACTGCAGACCTGTTGTTTCTTCCATGGACCTGGCTGCATTGCTGGTCTGCACAAATAAATCAAGGTTAGCAAATTCTCCTTGCTTATCTTCTTTACCTATCTCCACCACCACTTTAGGTGAATAGAGGAGCTTCCTCCCTCAGTGGTGTTTATGAGTTGAATTGGGACTGTGATCGAGACAGTTTCTGGCAGTAAAGGAAGCCCTCTCCTCATTCCTCACAGACTCTCCTCACTCGAGGAGAGGGAGTGGGCACTCGTGGTTCCTGCAGGCATCTCAAGCTCAAAGCAAACTCCAAACTCTGTGCACTGTCTTCTCCCTGAAACCTGCCCTTCCTCTTACATACTGAGCCTGTTAAAAGCATCACTTTCTGTCTAAGATCCTTGACTCTGTCCTCTTTATCACTCCTGTGTACATTAGCTTCTTAATTTGTTTGATTGAATATTCAGTGAGTGCCTACCATGTGCCAGGCACTGAGCTGGGGCACCAGGGACAGAAAGATGACTAAGGGTCCAGACCACAAGGGGTGCCTGGCCTACTGTGACCCACAGACACATCAACAAACAGCTGCCGTGCAGTGTGACTCATGAAATACACATGAAGGTCGTAGGACAAAGGGGCAAGTACAAAGCCAGGTGGTCACTTGGTTCTGCTGACTTTACTTACTATGCATCTCCTCAGTTCCTACACTCGACTCTTTTTCTAGCCTCCTCTCTTTGTTCAGCTCTTGTCTTTTGCCTAAACCTTTATTTATAGTCTCCTGTTTAGACCTGTGCTCCCTGCTCCAGAGCCTCCTCCGCTCACCCTCTATCCCCGAGTTTACCGTTTTCAAAAACAGATCTGTTCTCCTGAACATACCAGGTTCAACATATCACACCCGTTTCACAGTCCCACCTGGCATGGGCTTTCCCTCAGCTTTCCATACTTTACCTGTTGAGCACCTGTTCATCCCCACTTCGCACATCCTGTGTCCTGAGTGCCTAGATTACTGACAGTGAATGAATGTATCTGAGCACTCCCATTTAAATTCTTCCAAATATTCCAAATATCATGGAATAACTATAGCTTTGCGATGGAGAATTTCTCTCTTCCCTTGATCATCTAATAAAAAAAAACAACAACTGAACAAACCCTCTGGGTTAGTTTTATACAGGGCTTGTCTACATTCCTATAGTTGTCTACATAGCCAAGTCAAAGAAGTCTGCTCTCATTTCTGCAGTAACAGTGAGCACCATCAACAGGGATCATCCAGGTGGGCCCCTTGTCTGTCACACCAATTGGCCAGGGGACTTTTACATTGCTCCTCCCCCGAACATGTGACAGCAGCTTCCATGGCTTTTCACGAGCCTTTTCAAGGAGCTTTTACTTAGGCAGAAGGCTGGAGAAACAACATACGGAGCATGTTTGAAAGAGGAAAAGACCTGTTCAGGTGGCAACCTTGAATCCTACAAAGTCAGCTAAAATCGCACTGACTGTGGGAGGAAAAACTTCTTGGAGGCTCATGGATAACTTGTATGCAAAGAATTATATATTATAGCAAGTGGCCTATAGCTCCAGGTGTCCTACAAAATTAGCTCAGTTTAAATCAAAGACATCTGCGAGAGTAAGGATCTATGCGTAAACTCAAGGAATGACTGAACAAAAAAATAACTGTTGTTCTCTTTAAGGAGCATGATATTTCAACATACATTAGTATCTTTTGCTTTTTATGGATCTTTTGAAGATGCTCATGAGCCAAAAAATGTTAAGTGTGCTCTGTAACACAGAGGAACATTGTGAGCTGGGATCTGCTGAATGAAGCAGATATGAAAACCAGACACTAAGTTATGTTTCTGGGTCCTTTGTTCATTTTGGGGCTGTTGGCTTCCTGATATCCTGGAACCAAAACTCCCCACTGCATCTAGGACTTCAGCAGTGTTTGCCCATGCGTTGTTAGAAAAGTCAACGGTGATGAAGGAGTTGGGGAGTGGGAATTTATTCTGAGAGTGGGAATCCCTAATTTATTCTTCAGGCTTTTCCAGCTGGGTCTTCTTCTTTTTTTTTTTTTTAATCCAGTTGGATTTTTTTTCCCAGTCATTTTTATTATTTGCCTTTCTAGGAAGTGCCAAACAAAACCCAGATAATGTTGCTACAGCCATAATTGATGCCATCGAAGACTTCACCCAGAAAGGATTGGTCCGGTCCATAAAAAAAGTTAAAGTTGTTATCTTTCTGCCTCAAGTACTGGATGTGTTTTATGCCAACATGAAAAAAAGAGGACTTCAGCCTTCTCCCCAACAGTCTATGATGTCTAAAATTGCATGTGAGTTGTACATTTTTATGAAATGCCCTTTCCTAATATTGATGTCATGTGAGAAATAGTTATTCTTTTTTCTACATTCTTTTTTGGGGTAGTTATTAGCTTTCTTCCAGTTTTGCAAAAGCAAAAATAAATACATGGGGCTCCAAACTAAAAAGCTTCTGCATAGCAAAGGAAATCATCAACAAAATGAAAAGGCAATGGGAAAAAATATTTGCAAATTGTATATCTGATAAGGAGTTAAAATCCAAAATATATAAAGGACTCATACAACTCAACAGAATAAAAACCAAACAATCTGATTTTAGAATGGGCAAAGGATCTGAATAGAAATTTTTCCAAAAATTATACACAATTGGTCAATAGGTACATGAAAATGTGCTCAACATCATTAAGCATCAGGGAAATGCAAATCAAAACCATAATGAATGATCACCTCACATGACAGAACAGCTATTATCAAAAAGACAAGAAATAACAAGTGTTGGCGAGGATGTGAAGAAAAGTCAACTTCCATGCACTGTTGGTGGGAATATATATTGGTGCAGCCACTGTGAAAAACAGTGTGGAGGTTCCTCAAAAAACTAAAAATAGAGCTACTATATGATCCAGCAGTCCCACTTCTGGGTATATATTTGAAGGAAATGAAATCACTCTCTTGAATCCATGTTCACTACAGCATTATTTACAATAGTCACAGTAGGGAAACATTGAAAAATCAACTATAAAGAAGATTTGAGGGGGTAGGCTATAGCTCAAGTGGTAGAGTGCATGTTTAGCATGCATGAGGTCCTGGGTTCAATCCCCAGTGCTTCCTCTACAAATAAACCAATGAATAAACCTAAATACCCCCCCCACCAAAAAAAAAAAAAAGATTTGTATATATACACATATACATAAAGTGGAATATTACCCAGCCATAAAAAATAAGGAAATCCTGAGATTTTCAACAACATGGATGGACCTTGAGGGCATTATGCTAAGTGAAATAAGACAGAAAAAGACAAATACTGTATGCTAGTACTTATGCATGGAATCTTAAGAAAAAGACTGAACTCATAGATGCAGAGGGCAGATTGGTGATTCCTAGAGGTAGGATGGAGGTGGTGGTGGGTGGAAGGGGGTGGGAGATGGATGAAATGAGTGAAGATGGTCAAAGGGTAAAAACATCCAATTGTAAGATAAGTAATTGCTAGGGATGTAATGTACAGCATGGTGACAAGAAAGGAAGGAAGGAGTGAAGGAAGGAGAGAAGGGAGGGAAGGAAGGAGTGGGGAGGAAGGGAGGGAGGGAGAGCTAATCTTTTCTTTTATTTTTTAGCGTTTTTGGGCTTCTCAGGTAAATCTCCCAAAAAACGGAATCCTTTGGTTTTGGAAAAGAAAACAGAAATAGCAGTTTTTGAGGTGTGTGGTGAAAATGGAAAATGTGTAGAAAATGCCATCTCCTGGATACAGGAACTCATTCAAAAGGAACAGTGTCCTTACACCAGCGAAGATGAATGTGTCAAAAACTTTGATGAAAAGGAATATAGGGAATTGAATGAGCTTCAGAGGAAGTTAAACATCACCATTGAGCTGCAAGTTGACAGACCTTTGATTAAGGTTTCTGGAATTACCGCGGATGTGATGCAGGCTAGAAATGTAATTGAGGACATGATCAAGAGAGTTCGAGCATCCAAAGAACAGGAATCCCTGGCAGATCGTACCAGAGATTTTGTAGAATGGCAATATGAGAACAATAACATTTTTCATAGTTTTGACAAAATAACAAATATGCAATTGGAGGATGCCAAGAAAGAAAAGAGAAAGACAATTGGTGTCAAAATTAATCACCAGAGCTACATAGTGGACTTGAACACATACACTGCTACAGACGCAAAGGGAAACAGTTTACCTGTTCGGCGCCATAGAAAATCTGAAGGTGAATCAAATTTTGGTGCTTGTTAGCCATTACTTTACGCCTGTGTTGTGTGTTGTACATACATCAAACTGTTATTCAGGTATATAAAATTCAAGTAACCCTTACAGAAGAAAATAGAAAACTTGGTCTCTGAGCTTAAGGAGCTGACATTTTGGCTGAGAAAATCCAGCATGGCTGCCCCCAACAGCTGATGGTGATTATCTTAATGGTAGCAATAGTCAAACGCTGCATTTGTTCCCATCACTACAGTTTACCAGCTTCCCAGAGCCAGTTTTGGTGGGAAGGTAATGGCTGCTTTAGTCAGGAAAGTCCTGTAAAGAAAAGTAGGCCAGGTTTTCTAGAACAAAAGGCTGAAGACAGCCTAGTCAGAGAGCGCTCCTCTGTGTCTGTTTGACAACCCAGAGTGATAGGGAGACTATAGGATTTTCTCCCAGAAGTCACTCCTCTTCTGCCCTGAGGCTAAAGTTCTTTGACACACACATCAGGAAGCAGCCTTCAAGATTCCAGGGAAGGGAATGCTTGTCTCATATAGACAGCCATTTCTGCCTTTAGACCATATAGATCCCCCACTGAAAACTAGTGAATTGGCTTCCAGAACATTGTCTTCATCTCTTGAGAGATCCCTGTGAACAAATTCCTCAGACTCTGAGCAACCTTGGGGAAATGGCAAGTATAGTATTCTGTTTAGCAGAAAGGAAGACAGAGCTGCCACCACAACCTGCCACGTAGCAAGACCTCCCACCCACCCAACTCTTAAGGATGCTGTGAAGAATAATGAGAGAAGAGATGTGGCGGACTTTGTGGTGGTGGTGAGTTCTGGCAAAAACCCATGCACTTGTAAACAAAATAGTAGTGATTATTTATTGAAAACATTGTAGAGAAATCATTTATTGTTAAATTATTAAGTTATGACAGCTTAGAGACTGCACAGAATATGCAGCTAACTTATATTACACCAACATTTCTCAAATCTGAGCACGATCAAAACTTGTTAACACGCAGGTTTTGAAGTTTGTTTTGTTTTATTGTTTTTTTTTTCCTTAAACAAGCATTATAGTTGGTTCTAATGCAGGTTATCTGTGGCCCACATTTTGAAAGACATTCTTCTCCAAAGAGAAGGAGCTTCTTGAACACCTTGAACTAGGAGATTGTAAAACAAGAGCACAAATAACATTCAGTTTTTCAAAGTATACCAGGAATGTAGACAATGTGGATGAGTCTTCCCAGGTGCGAGGGTGTTTTCAAATGTCTACTTTGCAGTTGAGCTCCCCCCATATTGGACTGATATGAAGCAGCGGGGTGTCCATGTGGTTGAGCTGCAGCCTCATCATCCAGAATACAAAACTGTGGCCAGGAAGTTTAACGAGACCTGCTCAAACTTCATCATAGAGAAGGTGAGCCTTCTGCTGGCATGGAGTTTCTAAATGATGGAAAAGGGGTATCATGGACCTGGGTAAATACATTTTCACTCACTTCCTATCGCATTTTTTACCCAGAATTAGAATATTTTATGGCAATTATATTTTAAGTTCTGGTTTCTACTCATATCACTGTGATTACTGAGACATTAGAATTGAGATTCTTTAGTCAGTTATTACAATATAATATTAGATTATAATATGATATTAGAATACTAAAGATACATATTTACTTTGTGAAGCAAGCAAACAACAATTCCAAGATTTTTTCCATTTCTTTAATTTTGTCTCTATATGAGATGATGGGTGTTCACTGGACTTTTGGAGACTGTTTCATGATGTATGTAAGTCAAGACACTATGCTGTACATCTTAAACTTACATACATGCTGTATGTATGTAAATTACATCTCAATAAAACTGGAAGAGTAAATGAACGTGCCTGATAGATACTTAGATTCCCTCAGTGTAAATCAGTTGAGCAAAACAGCTGGTGTTACCAAGAAAATGTAATTCAAGTATGAAGCTCTTTGATGGTCTGGTTCTGAGATAAATTTCATTCCAAATACCAATTACAGTCCTCTGGTAGTGGCTGACTGGCACATTGTAATAAGATACCAAGTCCAGATGGAGCAGGACTTCCAGTTGACCCGAAATGTCTGCAGTGGGCCCTGAAAGGTTACCGTATGTTGGCAGACATGACTTCACTACTCTTTACATTGGAACCCTTTTTTCAAATAAAATCTTATGTGAAGTCCCAGTCTGTGACACCAGTAAAAGCAGAGCTAGGTTGTACTCAAGGCCCCTCTATGAGGTATCTAGTAGTGCAAAAACACTAACAGGAAAAATGGGTGGTCTGTCATCCTCCATGACTGTCGTATCTTATGACTAAGGTTTTTAACATCCATGAACTTCCACCTAGCTTCAACAGTTTTGCAACATTTGCTTTTTTCCCTTCAATTTCTCTGTTTTTGCTGAAACAACTGAAAGTAAGTTGCAGATACGACACTCCTAAATATTTTAGCATGTATCTCCTAAGCATAAAGACATTTCCTAAATAAAACAAATATTATTATCCCATGTAAGAAAATTAACATTAATTCAATAATATCCCATAGAGTCAATATTCAAATTTCTCCAATTGCTCAAAATAGCTTTCTTATAACTTCCCGCCAAGCCCTGCCCCCAATCCGAGCTCACACATTGCATCTAGTCATTTTTCTCTCCTTCATCTGTTCTGGCTAGAACAGTACTCCTACACTTTTAAGCATTATTTTTCATGATACTGAAATTTTAGAAGACTTTAAGCCAGTTGTGCTGTAGAATGTGCCACATTCTGGCTCTGTCTTGCCTAGAAATTTTGAAAACTCAAGCAGTTTTCTTATAGACTTTAGAGTTGTCTGATTCCTCATGGTGTCACTTAATTTATTCCTCTGTCCTCTTTATTTCTGATAAACTTGGAGCTAGGTTGAAAGGCTTGTGTAAATTCAAGTAAATATTTTTTAGAAGAATATTTTGTAGGTGATGCATCAAATCAGAAGCTTCTTATTTATTTATTTATTTTTATTGATGTATAGTTAATTTACAATATTGTATTAATTTCAGGTGTACAGCAAAGTGATTCAGTTATATGTATCTAATACATATATATACATACATATACATTCAGATTATTTTCCATTATAGGTTATTATAAGATACTGATTATTGTTCTCTGTGTTATACAGTAAATCCTTATTGCTTATCTATGTTCTATAAAATATGAAAGTCTTATTATATAAAAACTTTTACTGATTGACATCCATTGACGATCCTTTCCTGAATCCACTATTACACTGCATTGAGGTTGCAAGACGGTAATTTTCTATTTCTGTCATTCCGTCTATACTGATTATCTGGCATTTTGATAAAGAAGAATTTTCCTTCCCTCTTGCTTTTTAAAAAATTCAGTATCTTACATTTAATTACAGAGATTATTGTTTTAGATTCACAAATCATCCTACAGATAGCTAATAGGGACCCTCTCAAGTTGGCTGCCACGTCCTTTTGATGACCCCATTAATCTGTATATTTCTCTACTTTCTGGCACAGGGTCTTTTCAGCTCACCTGTACTTTCTCTGTCTCAGGCTTGGAATCAGACATTCTTCTGAGAAGCCCTAGTTATTTTCAGTGAGGAATGGTAATGAGAAATCAAGATCTGCGTGCTAGGTGTGCTTACTGCTAAGGTGTTATTGCTTCCAGGCTCTTTCATGGCTGAAGCTAAGAAAGCATGAGTTCATATGGATGTTTTCATTTAAAACTCAATAATGTAGATTTTTCCCTGAATTTCTTAGATTATATATGTATTTTCCTGTGCAATAAAAATTTTGGTTCCTAATAGTATATATTTACTTGTTTTATACTACAGTATACATAAAAATGTTTCAAAATTATGATACCAAAATTATTATTGGCAGTATTTTTTGGTTATTGTTAGCATGCCAAATTTTTTCTACCCTTTTTATTTTAACCTTCCTATAACTGTAAATTTAAGATGTGCCCTTTGGTAGCGGCATATACTTGAGTTTTGTTTTTCATCATCCAGTCTGACAATCTTTATCTTTTAATTGGGGTACTTAGTCTATTTAATGTATTTACTGATGTTTGGCTTTAAATATACCATATTAATCTTGGTTTTCTATTTATCACATCTATTCTTTGTTCTTTTTTCCTTCTTTTCCTGCCCTCTTCTGGATTGAGTATTTTTATTATTACATTTTCATCCCCTATTAGATTGTTGATTATACTTTCTACTACAGTTCTTATATTGGTTACTGAGAGATTACAGTGTGCATCCTTGACTCATTAAACTCTGAGGCAAATTAGTATATTTATCATTTACCAGATGATGCAATGAACTTTGAACACTTTAATGCCGTTTTATTTCCCTCCTTCCTTTTGTACTACTTTTAACATGTACCTTAATTCTGTGTATATTTGAAACCCTATAAAACATTTTAATTTTTTATACAGTAAGTACTTATTTACATTTACCAACATATTTACCCTTTCACCCCACTGCTTTTCAGTCCTTCTTGTATTTCCACGCTTCCATCTGGGATCATTTTCCTCTGGCTTTAGTATTTCTTCTAGTGCAGGTCTGAAAGTGATGAATCCTCTGAGTTTTTGTCTGAAAATGTATTTCACCTTCATTCTTTGAAAGATATTTTTGCTGGGTATAGAATTCTTCACTGGCAGTTATTTGAGCATTTTGAAGAAGTTATTCTATTATCTTCTGATTTTCGTTCACCCTGCAGTTCCCTTCTCTCCAAGAGCTTGGCCCATCAAATACTAGTTGCCTTCAAACAGACTTCTCCCCCTACCAGCTCTTTTAGTAGTTTTTGGTAAGAAGATTGGTCTGATACAAGTAGTCTGTCATAGCCAGAAGCCTGCTGCTTAAATAAGCCTCCTAAGTAAAGCTTAAGATTTATTTGCAGTGCTTTTTTTTTAACCTTAGAATGCATCCCAGTAGGAATACAGAATCAGATTACCATGTTAAAAATTACTTGAAGTAATTCTTCTCTCTGTGTGGTTATTAAATTTTAAAAGGGTCAGTGCTCACTTCAGCAGCATATGTAAGAAGAGAGTGAGAAACAAGAATGAAAGACAAAGAAATTAAGAATGGTTTTAAAACTCTGTAAGAAGCAATTTTTTAGGCTTTAACGATGAGTAAAATAAGTAAAATTTAAGGTAAATGGAAATAAAATGGAAGTAGGCAGGCTGAAGATTAGAAACTTAGTTATAGGTAAAAGGAAAAATAAATTTTAAAATTATAAATCAGATCAATGAAACACATGATAATGCTGAGACTTGGAACTAGAGGGCACATTGTATCTTAATTAAAAATGGGAAACCCAAAACTGGAAGAAAAAAAAAAGAACCAGATAAAGTCAGGTAATAATGGTGTCAGACTTGAGAGTTCTCTGGACTGGAAGAAGATTCTGACCAAACGGAACCTTCACCTGTGCCTCCCCATGAGGGGCCTAGCCCCTCTCAGCCATCCCGCACTCTTTCCCAAGTCAACCTTATGAAACTGCCACTACCTGGCAATTAGGGGAGTGTAGAAACTGACCTGCAATCCAAGACCCATGGAGTTCCAGCACAGCCCTGGAGGCCACTGCCCAAAAGTATGGGCAAAGCATAACCACTTTGGTGTATAACAAGATTCCCTCCCGCCAGGATTCATGCCCCACTCTTCCAGCTGGGCCAGAGATTGATTTCCATTAATTCATTTCCTTCTTGCCTAGACACTCTAGTGCTTCTCCCACTGTTAGAGCATGGCTAGATAAACCAGTATCCCAGAAAGACTGGGGAGGAGAGAGGGAAAGTGACTAAGTGAGGTAGGTAGCAATAGGAACAATTAGGAGTTGGAGAGTCTTGGTGGACCACGTTCATACAATGAGGACTTAAGATCCTAAACATTGTTTGCTCTCATGTGTTGCATAAAAGATAATTTTAAATTAAATTAACAGTCTTACCAAGGCATGTTTTTTGAAACCCTGGATCTAAGAAGAGTTCTGAATGCAGAAAGCTGCCATCTGGAATTGGATTTGCTGTTTATTGTAATTTATGCTTCTGAAAACCAGTGGTCACATTTCATTTGCTGTATCTTGCCAAGGGCTCTTGGCACTGACTGCCAATTTTCCTTATTGATTTGTAGATTGAGAGAATCCAGAATCCCGATCTCTGGAAGAACTACCAGACAAAGAAAAACAACATGGATGCCAAGAATGGACAAGTAATAAATGAGAAGCTGCTCTTCCATGGGACAGATGTGGAGTCAGTGCCACTTGTCAACGGAAAAGGTTTCAACCGCAGTTATGCTGGAAAGAATGGTAAGGAAGCACGTAATCGGGCTGCTCCAAAGGAGGTAGATGTCAGGCATGAGAACCTGAGCTGGCCGGGGGCAGTGGGGACGGCGTGTGTTCTCCTCTCATGGCTGGGGGCCCTGTTACAGCCCAGGCTTTAGGATGGACTCACTATGTGTCATCTCAAAGAGACTGACTGGCCCTCTGGGGTGGAGGAATGACTTTTTTAATTAAAAACACACAAAAATTTTTTTAAGAGGCTTTAGAGAGAACTGAACATTATTTTAAACATTTTTTGACATATTGGGTCAACACGTTTCAAATTATAGACTAAACTGAAATCCTTAAAAATGTCTTGTTCTTCTCTTCACAGCTACAGCATTTGGAAAGGGAACCTATTTTGCTGTCAATGCCAGTTATTCTGCCAATGATACATACTCCAGACCAGACATGAGTGGGAGGAAGCACATGTATTATGTGCGAGTACTTACTGGAATCTACACACGTGGACATACGTCATTAATTGTGCCTCCTCTAAAGGACCAGACAAATCCTACTGACTCATATGACACTGTCACAGATTGTGTGCAAAATCCAACTTTATTCGTGGTATTTTATGACTACCAGGCTTACCCAGAGTACCTCATTACTTTCATACGATAACATTTTGGTATCCTTTACAGAAGATATTATTCATCTATACATTATCTCACTGTAAAGCAAAGGTAGGGTTTTTTTTTCTTCTCTTAACAGCTTTTTCTAAAATCAAAGGATCCTTAAAAAAAATACATAAAATAAAATAAAATAAAATCAAAGGATCCTTGTCAGTAAAATCAGACTTTCTTCAGCTTCTCTTTCATAACTGGAATGAATCTGTCTTGAAAGCAATAAATTTGAGAATTTCAATCGGGTAACCAGTTACAACTGTGTGTTCACAGCCATGGATATCAGATCTGTGGAAATACAGGTTTGTATTTCCAGGAAAGGAGGGAATAACTTAATCTTAAAAAAATTTTTTTTTCTTTAAACTGGGGGATGACCCCAGGACTTTGAGCATGCTAAGCAACGTTCTACCGAGCTATACCCCCACCCCAAAGAATAACACTAATCTTAAAGGCAGAGGACACAGCGATGCAACTTCAGCTGCCACGGAGAGACAGCAGGTGTCATGTCAGGACTCCATGCTGCGGGGAGCACAGTTTTACTAAGTGGGTAGGGCTGCTTTCTTCCCAGGCAACAGGAATGGTGCCTTACTTTTTATCCCTGAGCTGAGGTCTGTGCCTGATGTACAATGGGTGCTTCCTAAGTGTTTCATAAACCAATTAAGAACCAAAAAGCCGTCAGGCTCCTAAGCAAAATGAGAACCATCTCTTCAACACCCTTGACTTATTGTCACTTCACCTCAAATTGCAGAGATTCTGCGGCAGGGAAATTGTTCTTCACGAACCAGTCTACGGCACGTGGGACAGCTCGGGGCCAAGGCTCTGGGCAGTGTAGCCGTGCCCATCACAGTCTAGGGGCTGTGGTCCAGCTTGGGGATGAGGTGAATTGTGTTCCATGGAGTTGTGCACCACAGCAGCCCTGTCTCCGATTGGACCTTTTTAATATTGAACCCCAATCTGCCTTCTTGTAGCTTCTACTCATAGTCTTAGTTCTGCCCAATGGAAAAAAAGTGTAATGCCCGCTCATCTTCAGTGTGAAACCTTCTATGTTAAGATTAAATGAATCTAAGGATATTAAATAGCATATTTTCCTTGGCAGCCTAGCTTTTGGTGATTTTAAAGTGCATAAATAAACCAAACGGATTAAGCAGTCATATTGCTAATTTGCTAACTAAGTATCTATTGGATGGTAATGGAAAGTTTCTTTTTTAACTTCTCTGGGCCAATTTCAGATTCAAACAATTTACTGAGCGCCTAGATCATACCAGGTAGTGTAATGGGTGCTTTTGCATACAGTATTTATTTTATTTCCTCAAACACTCTTGTGAGGTAAGAATTATATCCCCATTTTAAGGTTGAGGAAACGGATGCTCAGAGTGCAAGAAGCTTCCTTGTCTGAGGTCACCTGGGTAACAGCCCTCAGAGCCAGCAGTTGAATCTGGGTCTCTGTGTCATCAAGCCCCTTGTTCTTCCCAGTGCAGAACATGGCCTCTAGATTAATGTCACTGACTGAAGAACATCTCAGACAATCTGTGAGTTACTGTCAGTTTTCCTTGGTCTTGTCCCTTCTGGCTTTGGTTTTCATGGTAGGGTCTCTCCCTTTGAAGCTCTGGAGGCCAAGAATGTAGAGCTATGCCCATGTGGAGCCAGGGCAGATGGTGAACTTGGAGGCTCAGGTCTCCAGGAGGATAAAGGTGCTCTTCCCTGGCCCCAGGGGACAACACTGGCACTTCAAGTAGAGGAGGTTGAGGGGACAACAGTTGCTGCTTCATTAAATACAGATGACCTGAAATTTTTCTTGCTGTTGCTGTTTTTTAAGTGGATTGGCAAAGACTTCTAATTGCTTAGGAGTGGCTTCTCAGCCACTGGCATCTGAACTTGGGTTTGACAATGACTGTAAGGAATAAAAAGGCGAGACCTTCTCTTGAATTTGCTCCTGTTCTCCAGTGGTTTGGTTACCTTAGGGCAAGGCTGAATATCAGGGTGTACGGCACCGAAGTATAATGACTCAGTCAGTAAATGTTATAGTGACCCTCAACCTAAAGAAATATGCCATCCAACAGGGAATATAGCCAGTATTTTATAATAACTATAAATGAAGTATAATCTTTAAAAACGGTGAATCACGGTATTGTACATGTGTAACATACAATACTGTACATCAACTAGACTTCAATACAAATTCTTTTAAAATAAAGAAATATGTCATTTCCTCCTTTTTGACTAAAGTACTTAGAAAATGTTCTTTGGTGGTTAAAGATCTTCATCCTTAAAGGCAAATACAGGAGAGCTTGATAATAAACAGGCCACTGCTGATAAAAGACTACAACTAAAATGACAGCATCAAGGGATCCTCAGAGTACTAACACTATTCAGCTGAAAATTACAGCAAGGGCACAGGACAGATTTAGTTAGTAAATGAGGAGGGCAAACTGACCCCAACAAGCAGCCCTGCTAAAACAAGCCCACTCTGAGCTGGTGATGGGTCAGGGTGGTCTACTCCAAGGCCAGAGAGTCTTCAACTTTTGTGCTATTTGACTCACCTGAGGAGTTTGGGGAGCCTGCAAGTGCCGGCCCATCCCGAAGGAGTCAGGTGCTATAGCTCTAGAGCGGTGCCCAAGTGGCTGCATTCTCAGCAAGCCTCAAACGATTCTGATACCCCTGATGCCCAGAGCTGCGTAGGACCTTCATGCGCCTCAGGCACTTCTGCCTTTGTGAGCCCCTTACTGCGTAAAAAGTATTAAAAATTGTACTTTACAACTGCGTTGATATAAATGTGACTATAGAAGAAGCTGGATGATATCTTTTTTTTTTGATTAAAAAAAGGTGAAACATTTTTGTAGACCCTAAAAGCTCAGGGGCCCTGGCCACTGCCTGATACACAGGTCGGCCCTGCAGATACTGGACGCTGTGACTTCAGGTGTAACGCTGAGCTTAGCCTCTTCAATCCCTCTGGCCGCTGGAGGGTCACTGTATTTATTTAATAATTGATTTCATTCATTCAGGTGTGCTCATCTGAGGACTGCAGGATGAAATGGGACCCACCTTGGTGGCTGACAACCTCCTTTCACTACCTTTTCTTCTCTCATCCTGCCCCTTGGCAGATAGCTAGGGTTTCTTGCTGTGTCATAACTGCTATCGGCAGAAAATTAGATAATTATCTCTCAACACCTGTTTACAGTTAGAGTCCATTCATACTCTCTCCCCAGGTCTACCTCTCACTGAATTCAATACTTGGTCTCCAAACAGACCCAACCTACGCTAAGAAATACATTTTATATCAGGCCCAGTACATACACAGGTGTAACTGGAAAGTTTTATGAAATGTATTTACCCTGAAAAAAAATTTTTCCCTAGACAGTTTCACAAAATAATACTTATATTTACTACTGAATTCACTGAAATGACCTATTCTGCTCCATTAAAAAGAAATGCTGGTCTCACCCACTAAATTGATTTTATAACTTGCTAACGAGTCACAATCTACAATTTGAAAAACAATGGTCAGAGGAGTAGCAGAGATAAAAAAAATGCCTGAAGACAAAGATGTATCTATTTCTGCAATGGCAGTATACCTACTACAGATAACAAGCATCTTGCCCTTAACTACAACATCCTCTGACCCAATGTTTTTGATAGAGTAATGCCAACAAGTTCTCCTTTTTAAAATAGTCCACTCAAATATTGAATGAGCACCTACCATGTGCTGGGCACTGATCAATGCTCTGCAAATACAGCAATAATCAAAGCAAAGTCCAAACCCCATGCAGCAGCATTCTCGTTGAGGGAGACAGAAAATCATCATACCAAGTAAAAGTATCTACAGTGGTCAGATGGTGGTAAGTGCTACAGAAGGGTTTTTTCCAGACCCTTCTTTTCCTGGGCATGTTCACCTCCCTCCCTCCCAGAGAGCACATATTTTCTTTGGATTTACTGATACCCTCAGTGTGAAGACTGAGAAGGATGGGGCAAAGTCAATTCTTCTTGAAAGGTGACTTTAATGCATCTTTTCTGTTCTGTGTTTGTTTGATAAATGGTTACTGAGATCAGTGTTTTTATCATTTTTAAATTCCTAGACAGTAACAGTTATCCCCACATCTTGCAAATGTAATGGAGAGTGGGATCAATTTCACTACACCAAGCTTTTACTTAGTTTCAGGAGTCAGTAGCATCTGGCCCTTTTTATTCCCAAGGCTGGTGTTCCTAGATGTTCCAGTTCCTTCCACCAGGAGGCCTCAAATAGGACCCCCACCTATTTTCTCCTGATTGGTGTCCTGCTCTGGATGACGAGGGTTAACCAGTGAGAATTCTGCAGGTGTGAGAAGTGTGATCACTTCAGAACAAGGCTAGAATTCACCCAAAGGATGTGTTAGATCAGGGACTGGCAAACTTTTTCTGTAAGGGGACATAGTGAATATTTTCAACTTTGCAAGCCACACAGTCTTAGTCACTACTCAACTCTGCCACTGTAACCCTAAAAGCCACCACAGATAATATGTAAATGAATGGCATGGCTGTGTTCCAATAAAACTTTGTTTACAAAAGTAAATAGCAGGCTGATCCCTGCTTGAGGCTGATGGAAAGACTAATTCTTGTTGAGAACACTTAGGGCTTACACTTGAGATCTGAAGGGGTGAGAAGGGAGGGAAAGGCACTGAACAAAGAGGCCTACAGATGGCCGAAGAGCAGTATGTATACAAGAAGGTGGCAGAGACTAAAATGTAACTGGTATGAATAGTATATTTATACCAATGTGCAAATTGACCTTTTGATGCTCCATCTTTTATTTAAAAATTGTATTATTTAAAAACGTTTCTATTAGAGTTCACAAACTTCTTTGAATCAAAAGTTGTGCCACTATCCTGGTTACCTGTGGATTTACCAAGCAGTCCAGCAAATCATCGGTAGAAATGAATGTCTGGGATGGGGCCAGAGTGCTATTTGAAGCAGTCTGTTCCACAGCTGCATTCTCACTTTCACTTACCATTCGTTGCCTCTTGGTATAATGCAGTTTTCCCGAGCGTCCTCCATTTTTGCCAACAAAGTCTTCACCATCCCTTTCAAATATGCCTCCTCTTTCTGAGGGTGGTTCTTGGGAACTTGGGATTACAGGAACCAGATCAGGGCCAAAGGGACTTGCTGCTTCCTGTTTCACTGTTCCCGAGGTTAAGCTGGGTCTTCCAGTTGGTTCTGCCTCCATGTGGTTGTGCACATTTAACTCTTCCTTTATCCTGTGCTCTCTGTTTGTTCTCAGTGCTTGGGTTTCTACTACCTGAGATGTTCCATAATGATCAAAAAAAGCTGAAACTGCTCCATTTAAGTAGCGACAATTGACTTCATGGGATGTTTCCTCAACCTAAGGAAAAAGAAAAACCTTTTCAAATGGTTATATGCCCTTACATAAGTTGGAAAAGAAACGTCCTGGCCAGGGTTGATTTATCACAGGACACTCACCGCCATGAAGAAAGCCAGAAGGGCCTACCTCAGTTGGGTTTAACCAAGCTCTGGTGTTATGCGGGTTCTCTGCGGTTTTCAGGGCACACACAAGTACGCGGGTGACTGCCTCTTCCACGCGGGCTTGGTGGTCCTCTTCCTAAGTCGAGATTTTAAAAAAAGACAGTTTTTCATTTGTCTCTGTGTCTCATTGCTTAAAACAGAGAGTAGAGTCTCTGAATTGTATGTTCTGTTCTCTCATTAACATCAGCTTTGTTACTGAAGGAATGAATACGTGGTTGGCAAGACCACAGTTTTCATGCATTCATTATCCTCTGGCACCTGGAAGAGCTGGAGGATGCTCACCAGTATCCTGTCTATAAGACATAGGCCTCAAATATGAACCACCTTGGGATATTTTTTCCCCGTCTTTTCCATTCTCTGACGTCTTCAAAGTTAAAAGAAAAAAAATATTACATACAGAGGAATAATCCCTATAGAGTTTGATGAGCTAATTTTTTGAGGAATGGGAAAAAATTATAACACACATTCATGGCCCCAAGAATGAGATGGCTAAACGTGTAAATCTGTTTTTTTAAGGACACAATAAGTATAAACCATGGCATTAATGATAAATTATATTAAAATCAGTAACTTTTGTTCATCAAAAGATACCATAAGGGAAAAAAACCAGCCAGATGTCTGTAACACGTATAATTATATGAGATGAATGTGAAGAATATATAAAGAATCTGCCCCCATCAACAAGACAAATGATCCAATTTTTTTAAATGGGCAAAAGACATGAAGACAAACATTTCAAAAAAAGGAGAAAACAATCATACTACTAATAAACACATGAAAAAAGCTTAACTTCATTAATAATCAGGGAAATGCAAATTGAGAAACCCATAAAACTGGCAAAAGAGGGTCTGATAATTCCAAACGGTGGAGAAATGGGCATTGACGGAAATCTTATACACTGATGGTGGGAGTGCAAACTGATCGAGCCATCTGGAAAACATGTTGGCATTATCTTATAAATTTGAATATTGTATACCCTACAGACCAGCAATTCTACTCCTAGAAATATACACATTCTCTAGAGAAACTCTTGCACATGTGTACAAGCATATTCAATTTATAAAAGCAAAAATTGGAAACAACCCAATTATCCACGAACAGAAAAATGAACCAATAAATTGTGGTACATTAACACAAGAAGATATTACACCACAGTGAAACAGCTAAAGGTGACAACACAGATGAATCTGAGAAACATAACATTCAATTTAAACTTCAAAAAAGCAAATCCCCAAGATGAGACACCATTTCACACTAGGATGGCTATAATGAGAAAGACAGATAACAAGTGTCGGTGAGGATGTGGAGAAATCAGAACGTTCACACATTGCTGGTGGGAATGAAAATGGTGCAGCTGCTCTGGAAAACAGCCTGGCAATTCCCCAAAAGGTTAAGTGTAGAGCTACAAGATATTTAATTTTATGAGTCAACTTGGTTAGGCTATGGTGCCCAACTGTCTAGCCAAACATTAGTCTAGATGCTGCAGTGAAGGTATTTTGTAGATGTGATTAACACTTACAGTCAGTTGACTTTAAATAAAGGAGATTATCCTCAATAATGTGGGGGGACCTCATTTAATCAGTTGAAGGCCTTAAGGGCAAAATCTAGAGAAGAAGGAGATTCTGACTCAAGATTGTAACAGAAATCCTGAGTGAGTTTCCAGCCTGCCAGTCAGCCTCACAGATTTTGGACTCCAGACTGCAACTTCAACTCTTGTCTGAACTTCCCGCCAGCTGGCCTGCCCTGGGCTCATGTACCACATGACCCAGCGAGTCCATTTCTATGTGCAAACCCAAGGGAAATGAAAACATACATCCACACAAAAACTTGTACACGAATGTTAACGGCAGCATTATTCATAATAGCCCAAAGCAGACACAACCCAAATGTCCATCAACTGACGAGCAGATAAACAAAACGTGGTATATCTATACAATAAAATATTTTTTAGCTATAAAAAAGGAACGAACTACTGAAACATGCTATGTGGACGATTCTTAAAAACATTATACTGAGTGAAAGATGTCAACCATAAAAGATGTCCCCTTCACATATTTAAAAAAGAAAAAATATTCTGTATAGTTTTAGAAATAATGGGTACAGTTACAAGCAGGCAGATGACAGCTCCACTGCTCAGCAATGGAATGAGCCATCCTGGGAGGCAAAGCAACTGCCGAGGCTATTGGAGATGGGACTTTGGCACTAGGAGTGGACATTGCTCTGATTTCAATTCAGCACGCTGCAAGCAGAATTTCTAACTGTGAGTCTACTGATCTCCCGTTGTATCTCTCCCCCAAAGGCTGCAACTCTTTTCTAAGCCCACACAGTAGAGCTTCCTGTTACAGTATCCTTATGCTCCCCCTATGCCGAAGTCCTTCTCATTACCAAAGGATAAGAAAAGCCTGACTGAGCGGGGAAGGGTGCAGCAGCCAACGAGAAGTGAGACATACAATCAAGGCTTTGGGTACAGGAGAACAGAGATGCATTCAAGGCCTCAGGTTAATGAGGGCAGAGGTGCAATCAAAGCCTCTGGTTAAGGAGTGCACAGATGCAACGAAGCCTCGACTTGAGCCATGGCAGCCATTCTAATTGTCAAGTCAAGCAGGCAGCCAGGATGAAGCATAGCATACTGGAGGGGAAAAGCCTTTGGCAGAAATGAAATGATAAAAACCCGGTGCTGAAAGACTGCTTGGAGAAAATGTGTAAGTCAGGACTGGGATTTCTGCAATTAGTAATGAGGACCCTGAACCAAGAAGCAGATATTTCCAGCCCAGATGGTGTGGAGGGGACCGGCAATGCGGGAAGCATGTGGCAGATGCAGCCAAGCCCAGCACAATTCTCCTGACCGCACTGGTCAAGGGAGGAGACCTGGCACACCAACACCAGGGCCCACTGGGTGCCCTTCAAAGAAAGAGAGTGGTGCCTCGCAAAAATCCTATTTCCAACCTCACCATCCATTAACAGAGCACAGAATACATAAATTACAGCACAGTGAAACAAAGTCACACTGGAATGTTGGTTAAAATTTATCACCAAGTTCTACAGACAGGTGTCGTATATCTTAAAAGCAAGGAGATCACATTTATTATAAAAAAATTACCAGTTCAATCCATGAGTTTATACTGACAGTGACAGAATCAATGGATTCCACATAATGCCACCAGTGTCTGGGAACAAACAGAACCTGAAAACCAAACAAAAAATAGTTAGCACCAGAACAGGACATTTTATTTTTATATCAGAATCAGACCCTAATTGAAGTTTCCAGGAAAAAAATGAATAAATGAATTTACAGTAATACTGCAATAGGAAAGGGAAACAAGGAAAAAAACCCACAATCCTTTTATTCCTTTTTTGTTATTAACAAGTTTGCATGTTCTACAAAGGATATCACCAGCTTCTCCAGTCTCCACTCTCCTTAATCCTGGACCTTCTCTGTCTGTATCCAAATCTTAGTAAAGGATTCTGAGATTGTAACATTTCCTCCTTTCCATCATATAATAGTTGTATGCATTCTGAGAAAGGGCATGGGTACAAATATAGGACATAGATTCTGCCTTCTCACAGTCTAAAGTCTAGCCAATGAAAAAATATTATATAGAAAGGTGGCATCGTACAAGTGGTAAATCAGAGGAGTGAACACTGGGGCTAGAGAACTTCAGAGTAGGGAGAAGCAGGCGTGGACCAGGGAGGTCAGGGCAACCTGGATGGAGGAAGTGTGACCGAACCAGGACTAGGAGAGCGTGAGGACAGGCCAGGTGGGAGAAGTGGGCAAGGGAGGTGGGGATGCGGAAGGATAGCAAGCAGGCCAGTCTTACTGCTGCAGAAGGAGAAATGGGAAATAAAATGGGAGAAAAGGTAAGGGCCAGCAGAGGGCCCTGAATTCAGAATAAAGAATCTGGATTTTATCCTGTAGGCATTATGAGTTGCTGAGAAGTTGTGAGTAGGGGGATGGGTGAAACAGTGACATCAGGGAGAGTCTGGGAAGGGCAAGACTTCCTTGCAATGGTCCAATTAGTAAATTAAATGTTAAGATTTAAGTAGGAAGGGGAGTAAACAAAAGCAATGGGCAGGGTCAAGAAGGACTGTGTTTGTCTAGACTTGGAACGAGATTTCAAATGGAAGGCTGAGTAGAGCAGATGGAGATGTTCCCAAGTTTTGGGCTCTGGATTTAGGAAAATGGTGGCTCTTGCTATGGACAGGTGGAGATGGGAAGAGAGCTCCTTTTAGGAGAACTGGGCACTAAAAACAGCCACTTCAGCCACTGGATTTAGTCATCAGGAGGTCAAGAATGTCCTATCACAGCATATACCTTCCGTAAAGTGGTAAGAGGGACAGCCAGTTTATGACGGATTAAGGAATGAGCATGATATAAGGAAAACTGATTGAACAGACAGAAACACTCATTCAAATGTGCCTGTTAAAATAGAAGAAAAACAACTGGCAGCCTCTTCACATCCACTAGAACGGCTGTAGTTGTTGTAGTAGTAAGAGTAACAACAACAACAATAATAATGGAAAACAACAAGTGTTGGTGAGGATATGAAGAAATCTGAACCCTCATACATTGCTGGTGGGAGTGCAAAATGGTGCAGCTGCTGTGGAAAAGTTTGGCAATTCCCCCAAAAGCTGAACAGAGTTACCATATGACCCAGCAATTCCACTCCTATATATATACACAAGAGAAACAAAAACATATGTCCACACAAACTTATACACAAATGTTCACAGCAGCATTATTCATAATAACCCAAAAGGAGAAACAGCCCAAATATTCATCAGCTAATTAATGGATGAATAAAATGTGCATCCATGTAATGAAATCTATTCAGCCATAAAAAGGACTGAAGTACTGATAACACTCTACAGCATGGATGAACCTTGAGGACATTATACTTTGTAAAAGACGCCAGACACCAAAGGCCACAGATGGTACAACTGCACTTATGTGAAATGTCCAGAACAGGTAAATCTATACAGAAAGAAAACAGGTAAGTGTTTGTCAGGGTCTGCGGGGACAGGTGAATGCGGAGTGACTGCTTACGGGTCAAGGCAGCTTAGTCAGACTGGTGGAGCTGGAGCCCTGGAGTGTAAAGGAGGCAGAAAAAGAGCCAGTGAGAAGGGAGCGAAGGAAGGAAAACAAGCAGGGTTGAGGGGCAATCAAGGGAATAACATCTCCTTAAGATAATAAGAAAACCTTCCAAATTGTTAACAAAATATCAAACTTGTAAAGGTGATTTCCCCCGCTGGGTAGCAGCATTAAGTATTACACCTTTGGAAATGTTTCAGAGACAGTTACAAAAGCAACATCCATTCTTGCTTAAAAGCACATCATTTTCAGCAAATATACCATTTATATGTGGACTGTAAAAAATAATACAAATGAATCTATACACAAAACAGAAACAGACTCACAGACATAGAAAACAAACTTATTTACCAAAAGGGAAGTGTCAGGGAGGGACAAAACAGGAGTATGGGATTAACAGATACAAACCACTATGCACAAACTAGATAAGCTACAAGGATTTACTGTGTAGCAAAGGGAACTATATTCAGTATCTCGTAATAACCTATAATGGAAAATCATCTGAGAAAATATATGAATATATAACTGAATTACTTTGCTATATATCTGAAACTAACAATATTTTAAATCAACTACACTTCAATTAAAACAAACAAAACCCCAAATCACTCTCAGTTCATTCTGCCTCCGTTGGCCCACTAACTGGATGCTTCTCCACCTGTGTTTGTGGGTCTGGACTCTAAAAAATGGTTGAACAGATGGTAATTGTGAATAAATATTCCAAAAGGGCTCAAGTACCCAAGTCTTGAGGCTTTCTCTTAACCTGAATAAAAGTGAGTGTGTGGTCTCGTCTTCCTCCACAGTCCTTTCTCCTCTTCACCAGCAGGGGGAGCTGTGTTCCCTCCACCCATCTCCTTTCTGTGACCCCTGGAGCAGGGAATTGTGTGCAAAGCCTACAGATGGGGAAGCTACCTTCCAATAGCAGAGCAGCAGGGAGGGAACCTTGCTCATTTGTACTGCTAAGGACGCGGGTAAGGACCTGAAGAAGTTAGAGCTGAGATGTCCACAGACAGGTCACCCATGTGTTGAAGCTCCATTACCTGTCCTGGGCTCAGTGTAACCATATGTCGTCGAGCTTTCTGGAACTGAGGAAAACGCTTTACGTCAGGATTGACAACGTTGATTTTACTGAACACACTAGATTCTTCATAAGGGATTCTAGTTGGATAAAGGAAAGGAGTATCTTCAGGAGGAAAGAGATGCCATCTTTTCCTAATTAAAAAAAGAGAGACAAATTAGTACTCTAAACGTGAGACAACACATGTAAGAGGGCACACTAGGTGTTCATTTTCACTCATTTCCTTCAATCCATAAAGGAATACAGGAGCCACCGCAGGGGTCACCTGGCCCCCTTGTCACCCAGTACTGGAGTCTCCTTGCAGACACCTGGGGAGGTAGGGCAGCAACTAGTGGGGATCCCACGAAGCCCTGAGCAGCCCCTTGGCAAGGACAGGACGTAGTTTGTAAGATCTCTCTTTCCTATCTTAAATCAGAGTCGGCCTCCTCATAGACTGTTTTCATCCCTGAGTCCACCCTTTCAAATCTCTGTATTATCTGATCCAGAGCAAGCACCCATGGTTCTATCCACCAGACAGTTTCCAGACTTCTCTCTGTTTGCATTGTAAATTCCTTAAGTTAAACATTTGTTCAGTTAATCCATCAAGGAAGAGAAATGCACAAATGATGCCACACAGCTAAAAAGTAGTACAATACAGGAATTTTCAAGAAGACAAAACTGTGAAATGTTTCAGTCATGTCAAAATTTTTTGAAAAATAGATGTGGTGAATTTTAACTCATATAACACCAGACACTCCCATACTTTGAGCCAACAGAGTAAGGACATCTGAGACAGAGGGAGAAGTATGAAAAAGGAAGAGACACAGACAGATGTGGAAGCAAAGAGAGAGAAAACCTAATTCTGAGACAAGCTCTAAAGCCCTCAAGTGACCCCTGGTAGTTACAGTGGGGCCATCATGCCCTTTCAAGATAGCCGACTGCCATTCTCAATCTAGAGACAGTACATTAAAGTCTTATTTTGCCTTAGAGATGATAATGCTGCTCCCTTCCATTGGACCTAAGACTAGTTTGGAAGAGTGTCAGAGCCGGAAGGACCCTAAGAGATCACCAGTCTAACCTCACTTTCAGAGAAGTAGAGGAGGGAGCCAGGACTTGCTTGGACTCATTCACGGGGCTCGCAGTTAGTGGTGGACGCAGCACCAGGTCACAGATCTCCAGATCCTACACCACAGCTGTGTTTCCCAAAGGAACAGCCAAAAATAACCATCCCATACAATTTGCTTTGCTTGGTTTAAAATGTAATATGTATGCATCCTTGTCTTGTTAAGCAGAAAAGGTTGTCAATCATCATGTCATCTCCTGCTCACAAACCTCTCATGGTTCTGATGCTGAAAGAACAGAGAATAAGTAGTACTTGCCTGGGAGTTAAGACCCTCAGGTTCCATCCTGCCCTCCCTGCCTAATCCCTCTGTCTCGAAAGCACAATTTACACGGATGACTCACAGGGGTCTCTGTGCACCCCATGCCTTCCTAGGGCTTCGCTCATGCTGGTCCCTCTGCTCCTCCCACCTGGGTCTCCTGAACATTCACCTATCATTCAAAACCCATCTCAAGGGGCAGCTCCCCTCTGAATCTTCCCTAATCTTTCCCATGCAAATGCTACCTCTTTTACTTTTCAGTTCCACAGCTCTATGAAACCTTCCTCAAGTACACGTTCACTCTGCCTATATGTACATACAGCAACCTGCGTGCTTGCCTGCATTCTAACTGCACACTGTCTCAGCTTGGACAGTGTCTCACTCATTCACCTGTTTCCACTGTAACACATGGTACCTGCACAGCATGGCACTCAATGAATATTTATTGAACAGTTATTTCATTACTCGAGAGCTATGTGAGGCCAGAAAATATGTGCTCTCACAAAGTTAAAGTTACATTAGTTTTATATCATAGAAAGAACCCAGGTATTTTTTGGTAATGGTTTTCCAACTGAATTTCTCTGGCTTGTGTCCCAATTCAGAACACACAGAAAGCAACTACTTAAAATAATGCCCTCTCTAATAAAGTTTATGTTTCAGAATATTAAGTCCCAAAGGGCAGGGACCAGGCACACTTGATTCACTGTTGCATCCACAGCGCATAATAATGCACCTGAGATGTTCTAAGCCCTTTAATAAAGACTTGATGAATCCAGGAGGCAGTCTTATGCCATTTTACAGTTTTCAAAGAACTTCGCACACGGGGGAGCTGTTCAAGACAGCAGCAGAGGGAGAGCCGGAACTTATCTCCTCTCACAGACACAACAAATACACACGTACACACAGGTCAATTCCCTCTGAAAAGAGCCTGAGAAATAGCTGAATACCTGCTCCCCAACAAAGAATAAAAAGGACTAAGGACATCGAGATGGGTAGGAGAGGCAGAGAGACACTCTCGCCCAAACCCTGACCCCTGGCGAGGTGGCACGCAACAGGGAGGGACCTCACCAGACGGGAGTGAGGGGCTGGCACCCTACGCCAGGAGCCCTGGCCCCTGAGATCTACGCCACAGAGATGAGCCCCCCAAGCTCCTGGCCTAGAACACCAACAGGACAGATGTCTGAGGGTCCCATAGTGCCACAGGAAACTGAGATTTCCCTCTTAAGAGGCTCATGGACAGTTTCACTTGCTCCCAAAATCCAGCAAAAGAACAGCAATTTGAAAAATGCTGAGACTATATGTGAAGGAAAGTCATTTAGAATCTGAAAGTAATCACTGAAGGGGTGGGGGACAGTGGAAATGTTCCCCAGAGACAGAAGTGCTGCCAGACACCGTCAGTGTGCTCCCCCCACCTAACCTGCTAGCACAGGTGGCCAAGCTCGGTGACTGCAGCTCTCCCCTGGGCGTGGGGGGAGGGTGTAGCTCGGTGGAGAGTGCATGCCCAGCATGCACGAGGTCCTGGGTTCAAGCCCAGTGCCACTATTAAAATAAATAAATAAATAAGCCAAATTACCTACCCCCTGCAAAAAAAGAAAAAAAAGAAAAAAAACTTGGGATGAAAAAAAGTTACTACCAACTTAAAAGAGACTATTATTCACACAGGACGTTATATGTGAACTTCATGGCGACCACAAAGAAAAAACTTACAGTAAATACACAAAAGAAAATGAGAAAGGAATCCAAACATAACACTAAAGAAAACAATCAAACCACAGGGGAAGAGAGAAAGAGAAGAAAGGGACAGAGAAGAACTACAAAAACACCCAAAAACAATGAACAGAATGGCAATAAACATACCTATCAATAATATTCCTTCCAAGTGCACATGGAGCGTTCCCCAGGATAGTGTACATGTTAGGCCGCAAAACAAGTCTCAGTAAATTTAGGAAGCCTGAAATCATACCAAGCATCTTTCCAACCAGAACAGTATGAAACCAGAAATCAATTACAAGGAGAAAACTTAAAAAACCCACAAATACATGGAGACCAAACAACATGCTACTGAACAAGCAATGGGTCAAGAAGAAATCAAAGAGGAAACTAAAAAATACCTTGAAACAAATGAAAATGGAAACACAACTTTTCAAAATCTATGAGACATAGCAGAGCAGTTCTTAAGAGGGAAGTTCACAGCAATACAGGCTTAGCTCAAGAAACAAGAAAATTCTCAAAGAAATGATATAACTTTACATTTAAAGGAACTCAGAAAGAACAAAGCCCAAAGTTAGTGGAGGGAAGGAAATAAGAAAGACCAGAGAAGAAATAAATTAAATAGGAACAAAAAAATAATGGATCTATGAAATTAAGAGCTGGTTCTTAAAAAAAAAAAAAGAGCTGGTTCTTTGAAAAGATAAACAAAATGGACAAACCTTTAGTCAGACTCAACAAGAAAGAGAGGCCCAAATAAATAAGTATATCTGCAAATGATATATCCAATTAGGAGCTGATATCCAAGTACATTAAGAACTCATACAACTCAACATCAAAAAAACAAACAACCAGCTTAAAAAAATGAGCAGAGGACCTGAATAGAATTTTCCAGAGAAGACTGATGGCCACAGGCACATGAAAAGATGTTCAACATCACTAATCATCAAGGAAATGCAACCCAAAACCACAGTGAGATATCACCTCACACCCGTCAGAATGACTATTATCAAAAAGACAGGAAACAACAAATGTTGGTGAGAAAAGGGAACCTTTGTGCACTGTTGGTGGCAATGTAAATTGGTGCAGCCTCTATGGAAAACAGTATGGTGGCTCCTCAAAAAACAAAAAATATAGAACTATCATATAATGCACCAATTCCACTTCTGGGTATTTATCTGAAGAAAATGAAAACACTAATATGAAATATATATGTACCTCCATGTTCACTGCAGCACTATTTACAATAGCTAAGATGTAGAAGCAACCTAAGTGTCCAATGATAGACAAATGGATAAAGAAGACATGGTGTATATACATATGTCACAGTAATATATGGAATATTACTCAGCCATAAAAAGAATGAAATTCTGCCATTTGTGCCAACATGGATGGATCTAGAGGGTATTACACTAAGTGAAATAAGTCAGACAAAAAAAGACAAATACCGTATGATTTCACTTAAATGTGGAATCTTAAAAAACAAATGAACAAACAAACCAGAAACAGACTCTCAGATACAGAGAACAAATTGGTGGTTTCCAGTGCAGAGGGCGAGGGAGGAAGGGCAAAACAGATGCACGGGATTAAGAGGTACAAGCTTCCAGCTACAAAATAAGTAAGTCACAGGGATGTTCGTACAGCACAGGGAATATAGTCAATAACGTAATAACTCCGCATGGTAACAGACAGTAAGCAGACTTCTCAAGGTGATCATTTAGTAATGTATAAAAACATCGAATCCCTATGTTGCATACCTGAAGCTAACATAATAGTGTATGACAATTATAATTCAATTTAAAAAACCCCCAAACAAACAAAAAACCAAAGTACTTCGCATATGCAATCTATTCACGTACTTCCTCACTGTTTCTTTTGGATCCAGCCACAATCCTCTCTGAGTCTAAAAGGTCTGAGAACTTGGATATGGCTATTTTCCCCTCTGTGCTATTCTGTAGATGTCCCAAAAGGCCAGGAGAGGAGACTGGGACATCATTAATTAGGGGAAAATAAGGCTGCACATAGAACATTCTAAGTATATCCTCCAAGCAACAGAATCACTTAAACTCACATAACTCCTGGAGCCAGGAACTATCAAAAAGATTGCCCGCCTTAGCCCTCCCATCACTTAAGATCCACAGGCAGATGGAGATAAAACTACCTAAGGTGATACGATACTGCATTGTGCCTCCACGCTGGCACAAACTAAAGTTTAGAGTTGAAAGGGGCCATAAATACCATCTGGTCCAGTAGTTCTGAAACCAGGCTCCCTGGCATCCCCTTAGGAGCCTGAGGGTAGTAGCAAGGCCTCTTCCTTTCAACAACCTGCTCTGGTCTATTTTATTTAGGTTTGAAGAAAGGGTGTTCCTGCTTTCAAATAAAATTTTGTGAACTACTAAAGCAGACTCATATTACAGAGCTAAGCAGACAACTGTCTCGCTGAACTGGGAGTGGACTCCTGGAGTTCTAGGATCAGCTTTCTGAAAGTAAACCTGATCATGGCTGAAAGACACAACACATGCAAATCACCATTTAAACTGTCCCCTTACTTTGCAAAGGAGGAGACTGGAGCCAGGGGTTAGGTGATCTGTGCTGATTGTGAGGCACGCTGATAGGATGGAGCTGGGATTAAACCTTGGAGCCCTGCTGCCTACCTGATACTCATTCCTCTTCCTGTGCAACACACACACATACACACTCTCTCTCTCTTCATCTCTCCCTCATGCATGCACATGCATGCACATGCATTTGTGCATTACCTTCCTTGTACCTGGAAGACTAGGTTGCAACCATAGGAGTCCAGATGACAAGGTGTGTGGGCCCCCATGGAGCCAATCCACAATGTACTTTCCCGTCCATTTCTTCCAGGAAACCCGAAGTCAGACCATATCACATCCTATTTTGAAAATAAAATGACAGCCCATCAAGAACCAACCAACTTTGCTGCACAGTAGTGTTACACATCTTCACTTTCACATCTGGTTTGGGGCACTTGGAACACTCCCTTATAGAAAACGCTACATACGGAGGAGGTTAGGTTTCCAGGGCAGTCTTTGCAGTCTTTTTAACCAATAACAAATCTGCATTACCTCACTAATAGTAGTTATTCAGCAAATATTTACTGTCTGCCTACAACACGCCTGGCATTGTTCAAGAAGCGTGTGATGAATCAATAAAAAAAAATGCCCACCCAAATGAAGCTTACATTTTAGAGGCTGGAGACCGACAATAAACATAATCATGAAGATATCTAGGGGAACTGCCTCAGACAGCAGGAACAGCAATGGAAAAAAAAGATTTTTTTTTAAATCTCTAAAGCTCAGCTCAGGAAGCCAGGAAGGCATATTCCCTCTAAGCAGTACAGGTATTTCGAGGCATGTATTAACTTTTTGTACATCAACGACCACAGGAAAGAAGTCTTCTCCTAGGTTAGTGGAGTTACTTAAAACTATCAATGCTGGCGCCTTAGTCCATACCTACTAAATCGGAGTCTCCAGGTAGGGGAGGCACAGCATATCTTTTGAAATACTTTTGCTATGCAACTCAAGAGTCACGAACTCCTTAAGTGTAGTGAACTTTCAAACAGAGACGGCACAGTGCTTTGAATCTGGCACTCCTTATGTCCAGTTCTGTGGACAGACCGTGCCCAAGTCAATTACTGACCCACAAATAGCACCTGATCCAGTAGTTCTCAAACCAGGCTCCCTGGCATCCCCTTAGGGCCCTGGGGGCAGCAGGAAAGGCTCTTCCTTTCAACGAACTGCTCTGGTCCATTTTCTTTTCGTTTGAAGGAAGAAGGGTGTTCCTGCTTTTAAAGTTAGAAAACTATAAATGTAGTTTGACATAAACTCAAATCCAATGGAAGTTAAAATATATATAAGCTAGAAAAGAAAAAGAACATACCAGGGAATCAGACAGGATGGTTTTGCTTTTGTTTTTTGTTTGTTGTTTTTTGAATCATGAATTTTTCCTATTGAGTTTTAAAAACAAACAAAGAAAACAAAAAACACTTCTACATGCGGAACATGGTCTTAAATGCTGACATTACTTTTACCAGTATCTTCAATCTGTATTTTTTTTTAATTTTTAGAGGCAAGGCATTAATATTATTCAAAGAGAAAGGATTTTGGAGAGACATTTTAATAGATGGTTTTGAGGAAGACTAGAAAAAGTATTTTCATTTTTGTTTTGAGTGATGAAAATAGCAGAGTATGTGTATATAACTGATATGTTATAAAAGGGGAAGTTTTTACAATCAGCACTACTATAAACGCACATGGCTCATATACAGCAGCTCCAGTGGGTGGGAAAGATCGTGTCCCCTCTGGATAAAGCCCACAAGCTCCATGCAGGGAGCTTACCTCTGTTTCCCAATGCCTAACATGATAACCTGGTTCAGGGTAAGTGCTTAAAACATTGGCTGGTTGGGAAGGAAAGAAGAATCTGCTGGCTTTTTCTGGGTAAATGGTTCAAGTCAAGAACATTTGTGAGCATCTATTACATACCTGGTATGACACAGAATGTTTGGAATATGAAGATTAATACAACATAGGCCCTCCTTTCAAATCTAATAATGGAAGACAGTCCCATAAATGGACCCTTCCAATATAATGCAGCACGTGCTCTGACAGAAGTGAGCAGAGGGTGTGCTAAGATCACAGAACAAGAGCTCCGGTCCAAGGAGGGGGCTTCTAATGAACTTGGTCCTTGTTGAACAATTCAGCACATCTCAGTTTGGAATTTAAAGGCAGCTGAAAGACACGCAGTATAAAAACAAAAAATGGGGATCTGCCTTACCTAAGAAGAGGCTGGTTTAAGTGATTCTTAATCTTCTTATAGATACACCCCTTTGGGGGAATCTAATGAATGCCAACACCGCTCTCCTCAGAGAACTACACACACACACACACACACACACACACACACACACACTCTTCCACATACACTGAGAGAGTCGGTGGACCAACTCCAGGTGAGAAATATTTCTACAGGGTGAGGGGTGACTGATTATGAAAAACTAACACGAGCCTTCCCTGATCTCTTATCTAACACAGAAATTACCAAAAAAGGAAAGATTGTTTTGGAATGATTAGATCAGGGTGACCTAAACTACCTAAAATTCAGCTGCAAGTTGGGTGGGAAAATCGGAGGATGAAGGGTTTGGGGGAAAGTGGCAGAGAGAGAGTGACTCAAAGTAAATTTGTCAAAAAATAGACAGCATCCAGGGCACCTATTTTGGTTTTCCTTCCCCCGGGCTCTTGAGATTTGGGACTTTCTTGCCAATTGAGGTCAGCCACTTACTTGCAGGCAGTCAAACATCTAAAATCAGTGCAGGCCCAGGAGGAGTCTGTCTTGGGTCTTGCTAGAGACAAATGCCCCTGTTAGGCAGCTCCATCAGTGAAACTAATACAGGTGCCTGGGGGGCGGGTGACCCATCCTGGAGTCTATTCCCACTTCCACTTCAAGAGTTGGAAGCGTCTTTAGAAATCATCTCTATCCATGAAATTCTATCCTACATCATCCTTGAAAAGAGCAAGCGTCTGGCTGATGGCTCACTACAAAATCAGTATCTGCTTTCTGGTGTCTTCCAGAAGGAGGCCCGAGATTTCTTTCTACAGACAACAGGTTTATTTTCTCTTCTGTCAATAACTGCTAATCTGAAAAACTGTCATGCCTTCGCCTTTATCTTTCTCCTTTTTTAAAATACCAGACTCAGTAGCATTAACTTTTCCTTCCAGTTTCTCTCTTCTCGACTGCCTTTGCCAAAAGCCCTCTTAAAGTCTGGCTCCCCAGGATGAACCCCAGACAGAGCCCATGTAGTACCTTGTACGTGGGTCTCAACATTCTGTGATCTGGACATTATACTATCACAGAGCCTTTTTTTTTTTTAAAGCAACTGGATCATACCATAGCTAATCTGGGGCTTGACTGCCTTTTTCTTATGAAGTGTTGCCTAGCTGTATCTCTTCACTTTTAACAGACTTAAGGAAAAGGCCATGGGGCCTTACATTTATCCTTCTTACATTGAATCTTAAGTTTCTGCCTGGAGTTTTACAATATTTAAATCAACCTATGTACATGACTCCCAAACTTTCACCTCCAGTCCTAACTTCTCTATTTATGACTAAACCTGTATTTCAACTGCTAACAAGCTATCACTATCTGATTATTGAATCCTTGCAATGGACAGGCCCTGACACTAGTATTTTATATGTATTATCTCATTTAATCCTTATGAGATTGAAGGCAGCAATACCCATTTTACATACGTAGAAACATACATAGGGACAGCACTATTAAAATACATGGAGCCATTTTTGTTTGTCATAATGAACAGGACAGGGGTGCCTTGGTATTCAGTGGATGGGGGTCAGGGATGCAGCTCAACACAACAAAAGGGGGTTTGGTATCTTGCACAATTTTCTTAATGCTGAAAAATCCGATCTTTGTTATCTGAGACTAGAATTCTAGCCCTATTTCACTTATCATCAAAGGATTTTTGCATGGTTTTAACACATACTGAATTTTCCTGAAACGTAATTACTAAATAAGTCAAGGGAAGAGTGTACTTTGGGTTTTTGCAGCTTTATCAAGAGCAGTTCACCATTTTGAAAAATTAAGTCACCAACAGTGTTGAATCTCATGACATTTGGGTCAGCAATACATACACCAGTATCAGTCTCTGCTGGTACTGTCCTATCATGGTGACTCTACGTGTACAGATACAAATATACTCATTTAGCCTCATTTCAGAAGGTTAAATATAAAATATTAGAAATATTCTATGGAATTTTATCTTAATTTTTGAAAATTGAACCTTTTCTGTGTAAATAGGTACAAGTATCTGATTAATTCATTACGTCTTCTAGCGTAGTCGTGCTTGAATTTTTATACATTAAATCACATATTTCTGCTTAAATTTTCCTGTTAGTTTACAGCTGGGGCATTTGAATAGTTTTTAAAAATTAGGTGTGGAGGTAATTACATCACCTGCAAACTGCATTTCAAAACAGTAAAGGGGAGGCAGGATCTGACAGCAGACCACGGCTAGACCACCTCTATGGCTTTCCCAGTACAGACCACACACCTCCCTGTCTCTGTTCCTACAGTTCCCTCTGCCTGACTGGTCTTTGTGCTGCTTCTCCCACATCCCAATTCACACTTCTCTTTCAAGACCCAATGTAACTGTCACTTCTTCGAACCCGTCCAATCCCCTCCATGCAATCTGGTCATTTTCTCTTTTGGTCTCTCTTTTCCAGAGAACTTTGATTCTTTGCCTGTCTGACCCATTCTCCTCACAGCAGTGAGAGTGATCATAAAATATCAAATCCTGTCCCCTCCTTGCTCTGCACTCAGAATCAGATCCAAAAGCCCTCTATCAGGGGCCTGCATGACCAGACCCCTCACCTCTCTGACACCTCCACCTCTTTCCATCTCACTGGCCAGGCTTCAATCACAATGGCCTTCTTTCTTTTTTTCCAAAAAGATAAACTTTTCCTTTCCTCAAGGGCTTTGCACATGGTATTTGCTCTGCTTAGAAAACTCCTGACCTTCCCTTCACCTGGCTAGCTTCTCAGTGTTTAGGAATCAGCTTAAATACCACCTCAGAGGAGTCTTCTCAACTTACCCTAAGACAGTCCCTCTCCTGTTACTAGTTACTTCTGCCCATTATTGTTGACTTCCTAACACTTATGACAGCTGGCCAGTACTTGTTAGACTCCCTTGTCTGACTTCTCCACTAGATTGTGAGCCCCCGGAGGAGAAGCGACCAGGGCTGTCTGACTCTCTAGCCCTAGCAGAGTACCTGAAAAACAGGTGTTTGTGGAAAGAATAAATAATCACCCACATTTTACAGTTATTTTCTGTCTCTTGAACACATATTCACCTTGCCAACTC